AGTTATTAATATAATTATCTATATATCTATTATTACTAGCTTTATAATACTTATATATTAATAGTAACTTATATTATATAGCCTAAGACGATCTGATTATACTATTCAGAATAATACTCTAATTAGTTTAACCCCGACCTACCCTAGACCCTGTCTAGTATAAGTTAACCTAACTGTTATATATAAGGAAGTTCTTATTATTTTTTATTAACTTATAGAAATAGATATATTTATTACTATTCTCTTTAATCTCTTTAATAGTCTATAGGTAGAAGAGATTAGTAAGTACTTATTAGATATTTACTCTGACTTTCGAATTATCTCGAATAATAAAGATACTATTTACTAAGAGTATTTATTAGAATTTATTAGTTAATAGTTTTCTATAGTTAATAAAATAATTATTAGTCTATCCCTTAAATATATTAAATATAGCTTTATAAAGTAATTAACTATAGTAATCTTTATTACCCTATATTATAAATATATATAATAGGTAGGATATAAATTACTTTAGTATAATAGTTACTAAATTAAAGTTATTAATATTCCCCTAGATTAATAGATTAATATATAATTATAAATAGTTAGAAATAGGAAAAACTAATACTATAGGGGAAAAAGATAGGCTAGCTATTTAACTATATATTTAAGATCTATTACTTATTAGTTTATCTAGTAGTAAACCAGATAGTTATATTATTTTATTTATTATCTTTAATAGATAATAAATAGATAGATAACTAATAATAATAAATAGTTAAGCAGATAGTTTAGAATTATTAGTTCTAATAGAAAGTAGAGATCAGAATAATAATATTAATAATTTATTATATATAAGAGAATAGTTTAATTTTATTATTATAAAGAAGGAACTATAATAGTAATAAGTAGTAAATTATTTAATTATATTATTAGTAGTTCTAAAATCAGAAGGAACTATTTATAGGTAAATAAATAAGTAATAAGATAGGAGAACGAGCAGATAAAGAGATAAGTAGATAAATAAATAAGTAGATAGTTAGATATTATTATAGTATTTTAAATACTACTAATACAGATAAACAGTTACTGATTCTCAGGGTTAACAGAAGTATATTCTTCTGTAATACTTAGGATTAAATAGATAAATAATTTAATAAATTTATTAGTCCTATAGTAGTATAAATTCCTTTATAAAATATAGTAATTAGCTTCCTACTGGATAGAAGCAACTGGTTTACAGGAAGATATCTTATCTATTAATCTGATCTATTATATAGTTTTTCCAGACTGATCAGTATAGGTTAACAGGAATTCAATACAGCTATATAATATAGCAAAGCAAGTAAATTAAAGCAAACGATTGATTAATATCTAAGGGAAAAAGCTAACTATTATGTAGTTGAACGGAAGGTTCGTATAAGTAGGTTTGCGGGTTATCGATAAGTCGATAACCCGATAAGTTATATTAACACTGGAACTGATGCCAAAATCTACTCGTCTGGATTCTACGCCTTGGCCAAGCTCGGATGCTGCGTTCTTGCCTCGCTATTCTTCGTCGATGCGATCGGTCGACGCAAGTCTCTGTTTATTGGTATTACTATCCAAATGTTCTGCCATGTCTATCTCGGCTCGTTCCTTAAGGTCGCCGGGTCTGGCAAGTCCGTCACCCTGGGCGCCTCGGACATGGCAATCGCAGCAATCTACATTCACGCACTTGGCTGGGCTGTTGGTAGGTTCCAGAGTTCCACTACGACACGAGTAGAATCATTATCCTAACTAGGCACAATAATAGGTCTCTACAGCTTGCCGTATCTGTTTGGCGCAGAATTATGGCCCAACCGAATCCGTTCCTTTGGGGGTGCGCTCTCCCAGTGCTTCCATTGGCTCTTCTTGTTCGCCATTACGAAAGCGACTCCCTCTATCCTTTCATCCATGAACAAATGGGGCGCCTTTGTCTTTTTCGCCGTATGGTGCTTCATTGCTCTCATCTACTGCTTCATCATGGTACCCGAGACCAGTGGTCGCAGCCTCGAGAGCATGAACAGACTTTTCGAGCACCGTTGGTACGAGATGCGAAAATATGCGTATGAGGATATCCCCGTCGGTAAAGCAGATCAGTAAGTACCAGGACCCGAAGAAATGATTTGAGCAGGTGCTGATAGAACTCGACATTCTAGAACGGCAGAGGACAAAGATACGGAGCGAGGCTCTGTCGAGCGCGTCGAGCGAATTTGAATCGGACATCAAGGATGGAATATGTAGAGTCAAGAAGGCCGATTATTTTCTCCTGGAGGATACAGCCATAAGTGAGAAATTCAATTTCTCAAATCAAGACTTCACCGCTATGGTATCGTGTCAACGATAAATACGAAGGTACAGACATTCAGGGAGGTCAGTGCAGCCAGCAGCCTAAGATTGGAACCGAGGCCTCGAGTTGTCCTGTCTCTCCATACAATAATTGCAACATGATCTAGTATCTCAAAGGCTGGGCAGTTTGGAACTCAACTTCTTTGTCTACTCCACACGGCTGACGACCCAATGGTTCTTCAGTGATGCAAATGAGGAGACGATAACTCACACCACTTCTTAGTGAGCCGCCGCCAGGCTTTTGCTATAGAACCGTTAGCTCCACCTCAAAGTCCGATGTTTAAAGTTAAAATGATGGGTTGGACGATAGGGTAGGGTCCAACTATGCACCTTATGGCAACAGAGTTCGATATCCATAGATCGGAGCACAATGTAGTTGGTTTCTAGCCACATAGCATACAGGGCCACAAACCAATGTAGGGTAGCCAATAGGAGCTGGGAGAGGATTAGAGATCGCGATGAAGGAAAAGGGGCTAGGGCAGGCCTGATCTCTAGTCCCCTTGATCGGCCGTCTAAATTAGGCTACAAATACCTGTCACCAGGAATGAAGGAGAAGACCATCGGCACCTCAAGGCACGGTCCGAATCGTCGATGAACCCAGACCCGGGTGGGGCTCAGACTAGCGCTTGCGGATTGTCGTCCCCCTGACCTTGACCATGGAGAAGGGTCAGGACGAGCTGTGTTAGTTGACACACATGAACCACGATGCACTCTACTCTAATTCTACCTCACGATGCCCTCAGAACCTCGGGTGCAGAAACCTGTGAATCATATGTAGCCAGAGGAGAGTCACTAGAGCCACCACTCTTGCTGCTCGCTACTAATCTTGCTGCTCGCTACTAAGATGACAGATCACAGTCATCATGACATTAGCCTCCGCTTTTTTTGTTTCTTTTTCCCTATTGTTATTGTTCGTTCCTTTTTTGCATTTCTACCTGTCATCTCCGGTGCAGCCGACGCCAAACCTTCCCGCCACAGCTGCATGCAAGCTCAAGCGGTCTGGCGAATCCATTCCCCATTATGCACATATTCTGCCTTGGAAGCATTCGAATAGCTGCCCTAATGGTGGTCTTGGTGGGTGGTGGCGGCGCGTTGGGTGCCGTCCGTGTTTCACAAAGATCGAATCAGGGGCGGCCGGAGAGTGGATGGATGGGCGAAAGTGGCTGGCTGACTGAGTTGTCCGTTTCAATGTGCGGAAGAAGGTCTCACCTCCCTCACGCCCATGCCAAGTATCGGTACCTCTGTCGGTCTCCTCACACCAGCAAGGGAGGGATCGACTCCTGCCCTGAAGCAACGGGAGTGACCGCCACGTGGTTGGGGTTGGCCAGGCTAGGAGCAGAGGTGAAACTGTCGCTTATCGAACTGCCCAGGCATTACAACACCCTCGCTGACCAGGCTGGCTCACTAGGCTGGGGTCCATGACATCTCTCGAGCCCGCGAGACTGACCCCAAGGATGTAGCTATCCCGGGCAGAATGGAGACAGCCTTTGTCAGCGTTGCATGGCCTACTGGCCGCGCGGAGACTCAGCCGGGCGGGGATGCTGCCGGCACGGATCCCTCTCCTCTGGCATCTCATTGGGAGACGTCGCGCTCTGGGTTGGCCGAAAGGGTCGAGCTGCATGATCTGCCCAGCGCTACGCCTGCCATGTCTGCACATTCCGCCCTCAGCTGGTGTGCTACGTACGCCCGTCCTCGCCTGCCTGCCCCGCCCCGGACGACGCAGGAGGGAGGGTTATTGTCGTCTCACTCATATTTGCCATGGCCGGATGTGATCAGTCACACTCTGGCAGGACGGGGCGTGGTATCAACCCATGACGACGTAGTAGACGTGCATCGGATATCCTCCATGCGCAGTGTCGGGACGTAGCTTGCATTGAGGTGGGCTTATTCACGAAAATTACTTATTCCATCTACCCATCCATCTCCTGAGCCCATCCATCCCTCCATCCCTTCCCACCTCTCTCTCTTCTTCTCCTCACGTGGACAGCATACAGCTGACTTGAAGCCCATCCCATTCCAAGCCACGCACCTCTACTATCCAACTCACCTCGTGATTGCACACACGCTTTCCGTATGGTTCTCGCTTCATCTTGCTAGATCAAGTCTAGGCTAACCCACGCCCAGGCACCCCATACACACAGTAACCCGTCCCACCCAGCCATGTGTTACTCGGTAGACTGCGAGGGTGTGTGCGAGGACGGCCACCGCACCGCCGTCTACATGGCCATCGAGGCATGCAGCACCGCCCTGTCCACGCACAAGTCGTGCGAGGGCCCCGTAGTGCTCGGCCTCCTTCGCTGCACCATCCCCACAGCTCACTGCGAGACCTGCTGCCTCATCGCCTCCCCGCGGGAGACGACCCGTCTCCTAGCCGAGAGCTGCGACGAGAGGATCAGGGACCTCATGTTCTGGCAGCCGCGTCCGGAGCCGGATGCGAAGCCCGTCGAGGAGTGGGTCAAGTATGTGCAGCCCTTCGCCGGGATGATCCTGGGTAGTTAGTGTTCGCCGTGTATTACTTGACATGACTTTTGCTTGGTCAGTGCTATGATGGAGGAATTGTTTCTTGAGGTTCACAAAATTGATGTGGTATAAAATTGAATGCTGGGTACGGATATGGATAGCAGGTAGCTTCGGTCTTTTGTTATTGGGCTTTTATTTATGTTCTCATTCTTTATCCTCTCTTCTGTCTTTTGATACTTTATCATGGTTCATCACAATCCGAGTAATAGGAACCATCTGTCGATTATTCTCCAAATTGAATGACTGTATTCCATCTTGCACAATAATTGCTCTCTATGTCCCTGAGTACTCCATCTAGGTCAATCTTTTGGTCTATCAGGTATTATGTTTTCTTCCCATAGTCGATTTATCCCAATCTGAAGAGTTATCATCAGCTTTTTTCTTGTGCATCATCCTAATATCAGTTAGCTACTCGGCCCTATCGCTGATTGTGTGAAGCTTACCGTACCTGAAACCAGCCAGTGCCTTGCGGCTGGGATGCGGAGAGGTGAAGAATGATCATTTAGCAGTTCTCCTCTGCCTTCTTCTTTTCTTTCAAATCGGTCTTCGATTTCCTCTCTTTCCTTCTGCTCTTCTTCTCCCCCCGTTTCGCTCTCCTTCTTGTCTTTCTTTTCCTGGGGTGCCGCCGAGAGCGGGACGGACTTCGGGAGGAACCTAGGCGTGGTTCGGCGGGCTTTGCAAAGCTCGCCTTCTGTCTCTTTCTTGTCCCTCTTCTGCTCAGGTACCACCCAGAGCGGGACGGACTTCGGAAGGAACCTAGTCTTGGTTCGGCGAGCTTTGCAAAGCCCACCGCTGATCACTCTGTCGGCACGAGCACGGGGCTTCTGAGCGAGGCCGGGGGAGGAGGTTCCCGGTATGCTGCCAGTCTCAGTGCCCCCGGCCGGCTCCTGCTCCTTGGTAGCCGTCATCTAAGAGGAGGCGAAGTGTTAGTGGGAGATTGTCACGGATAGCATCAAGTGAATCTAAACGCCCGGGTGAGGTCGTCTGCCTGGGCTGGGCTTACCGTTAACGAAGCTCTTGGATCAGCTTTCGAGACACTTTCGGCTTCCTTTGGCTCGACTTGGTCGGCCTTTATCGGTTTGCCTTTGGCAAATCGCCGCCGGAAAAGATGATCCATTTCGGATCTCGTCACAGGTGGTAGTGAAAAACGTAGTGAGTTGCCGCGTGGAACCGAAGCGTCGATTTGCTTCTGTTCGGTTGGTAAAGAGGATTGAGTTACCAAGTAGGTGAGAAGGGGGCAGTGGTAGTGGAAAGGGGAGGGAGAGAAGTTGGCGTTGGGTGGAGAAGTTACGCGTAGTAAGTGAGGAAGGACTGAACGCGTGGACCTCAGTGCCTTCCCACGTTCTAAGGAAAGAAGTTTCGCGTTGGGTACGGCAACGCGTTGCGTTTGTTAAGGCAGGAAGGACCAGGCCCGTGTGGAAGGTACTTCGTTTGGGTTCTCTTTACCCCGTCACTTGCACCTTCCATGAAAGCTACTTGCACAGTTTCACATGTAGTTCAGATGCCCGCATGGCACAAGAAACAGTCACCATCTACTCACAATGGTAGCAACCTCCCTCTTTTATTACATCTTCCTACCCCAATGACGGGTGCGCACTGGATCTTTCCTGTAGCACTGTCGGGGCCAGAGCAGAGGAGTCTGCATCGGCTCCCCCACGTGTGAGTAATCCACTCTGCTGCCTGCCGTTCAGACTTAGTCCGTTGAACCGTTGTTACATCGCCTCCCATTCCTTGTCCTACATCGTTGAGAAGAAGCTCACAAGTTTGTCCGCCACCTAGAAGGGAGTTTCTAGTTGAAAAAGGTCTCGGTTTGTCTCGGATTAGACAATACACCTGACCATAAGTTAACAAATTACAGGCGATGTGGGTGGTCGCGACTCTCCGCCTTGAGAGCGGAGCGAGGTAAGCAGCCCAACATGGTCCCTTTGTGAGGGCCAAGGAAGAAGAAAACACAAAGATGTCAGCTAACACCCAAATCTCGCGGACAAAGACCCGTGCCTCGCTGCGATTCAGCACCTACAGTGCCGCTGCCCCAGCGCTCGCCGCTACCGTCGAAACCAACGACACGGGCGGTCGCCCGTGTCGTTGGCAACAAAATACGAAATATCGTTAGTCTGCTCCTCCCTGAAGCCTGTAGTGCGCAACAAGCGAGGCGTGCCTCATATTCGCGATGTATGTACTAACCGGGTCAGGGCGGTGTGTACAAAGGGCAGGGACGTGATCAACGCAAGCTGATGACTTGCGCAGCTTTGGGACAGAAAGCGACTACTTCGTTGATGCGACGATAGTCTCGTCGCCTGGGAATTTGCCTCCTATTGGCAACTTCTCAAAATCAGTCAACAGGCAATCGCAGTCACTCTTGGCTGGGCCCAAGTTGAAGGATAAACAACCATCGGCAGCAGGCAGGCGAGCGCTGAAGGCGAAAGCACCCAGCCACTGGGTCGTTCATTTCCAGCACCGCCTGTACCTCAATCGTATGGGCCTCCTCCACCAGGTCACGACGCTCTGGTGGACGAAGAACAGTTGAATATTCCCTTGGTGCTCATGCAGTTTGCACTTCAGAGCATCATCAAGAGTGGTAAGTTTTGCATTCACTGCTATGAAAACCTGGGGTCCCGCTGAAGCAACAATAGGTCTGTTCACATGGGTTTGGGAGTTGTAAACTCGGTAATGATCCCTCCGCTGGTTCACTTTTACTTCCTCTAAATAACCGATTTTAGAGAGCTTTCCGGCCCTGAGTGGTGGTTTCCCTCCTCTCTGGTCTGCGAGCCACGCCACATTGATGAAATTCTTCATTTCCGTGAGAGCTCGCTTGGAAGTGAGCTGTCCCAGACGAGCGAGAGCCTTTGGGTTGGCGAGACATGGGTGGTTATCCTCAACGATAGTCCCGGACCACGGGAATCGCCCGCCGAACCAAGCCTAGTTCCTGAAGGGAGTATTCCCCTACAGCATCCATCAGTACGACTTAGCGAGGGAGTCCAATGATTGACTTTCGAATCAAGGTGGCAAAGGAGATATTTCTCATCTTCACAAGGCCGCTGCGACGATCAATATGAGTCTGACTGATCTTCTTCATCAGTTCAGTTTTGGGACGCCACTCTACGCTCGGCTATGAGTACGACCTGGCGTGAGAATTATTCCTTCCCGCGGATTTTCAAGGGACGTCGAGAGCGCACCAGACCCAGCAGAGGTGCTGGGCTCTTCCGGCTATTAAGCCCTCGCTTTACAGGACGGTGACTTCCCTCAATACCCACCAGGGCCCTCAGCCTCATTACCCTCCAGGGCAATACCCTCTGGAATATCCCAACTCATTTCTCAGCCCCGGCAGACAGCCTCGCCCAGGTTTTAGATTCACTTGATGCTATCCGTGACAGTCTCCCACTGACACTTCGCCTCCTCTTTCCCTCAATACCCCCCTCAGCCTCATTATCCTCCAGGACAATATCCTCTGGAATACCCTAACTCATTTCCCGCACCGCCTCTACCTCAATCGTATGGGCCTCCTCCACCAGGCCACCATATTGGACTGGGCAACTGAAGAGAAAGAGAATAGAGTTTAACAACAATGAAGCTGCCAGGGCCCGACAACTCAACACAATGAACACGAAAATTTGACTCGGCAACTCACTACGTTCTTCACTACAGCCCGCGAGGTGATCCAAAGCAGATCATCCTTTCACTCATTTACGGAAGGTGAAGGAGCAATGGGGACAGACAAAAATGAAATCACGGCATAGGCGGGCTTATTGATGGCTATAAATCAAATGTATATATTTCATACCCTCCAAATCCCCATTCAACGGCAATAATATAATCTCATCATATTTTGGGCACTGCTGCTGGTTGCATGTGATTCCTGATGTCGCCCATGACGCACAGCAGATTAAAAGGACCGGCGGTGGCGTGACCGCTCCAGCTCGAGTGGCTTCGGTTACGACGACGGGTGGTATTTAAGCAGGCTTGATGCAATATTGATTTCATGAACTTTTGTGGTTGCGACTCTCGAGGTTCCATGGAGGGTCAACGGGGGGAGCTCATCGTGCACACTCTGGGTTGGCCGCCGGTACAGTCACTCTACCTTAATTACCTCCCTAGTAGTGCTTCAGGTTATGTACCTGGCTCACCGCACATGCCTGGAGAGCCCGTCCAGTGGCCATGTTATCGTCGTGTCTCGCCAATGCACACTACCTACCTGCTCTTTACATGCATCCTCGTTCCATCTGCGTCGACGACCGTCCAAACCAGCTGGCAGACAGACTCCGGCCACGCATTGTCCAGCGTCTAAGCGCCCGCACATACATACAACTGATGCCAGGTGTAGTGATTGGCTCGCCTCCGGAAGCCCAGAGTCATATGCTGGGAGCCATTTTGATTGCGCGACTCTTGCTAACAGACGGTGATTGGCAGTCCGACGAAAGAAAGCCCGACCATCGCCGATATATTCGCATTGAATCAGTCTGCAAGCACCCCAGCACTCGTGTCCCGTGGCGCCACAGGAAGGGTTGCACTCAAAGCCAACAACGGCACCGGTCAAGATGCAGCAAGGATGTCGATCCGCCCAGATCTCCATTTATGGACGGTCCGGGAGACACTCCGCTGGGAATGCAACTGCGTTGTTTGAGGTTCTCGCCTCGCCCGCATCTGATGCACCAACTAGACGGGAGCCTTCAAGCCAGGGTGGCTGAGCCTGTGTGGCACTGACTCTGCCCCAAAAGAATGCATGCAAGGACGTGTCATCCCATGCATTGCATATTGCGAAATCACACATCTGCCTGCAGGCCCTCTTGACAATCACCAGACAGATGCTACGCTGCCAGAAGAAACTTCTCCTGGAATCATCCCCATCTCCTACCATCCCCTGGCTCAAGGTCTCCCGAGAACAACGAGTCAGCTTGGACCTCGAAGGCCAGTTGTATTGGTACTTTACACAACTTTTTCTCAACGTACCGCCAAGGGTATACGAACCCCTGTCTCCGAACATCCCAATATTGGAAACCTTCCCAGAGGCCGGTATCCTGCTATACCTGCCCCGAAAAAGTACTATTCCAACCGAGTAGAGCCATCATGGGAGTGACTAGAGTTAGGATGATGGCTTCATATAGGATTACTATCAGCCCTAGTGTGGCAAAGCAACGCCTGTTCTTTCCTCACCGCGAAGATGCGACTCTGCTGACAGATTCTAGCTTCATCCGATTGCCACCGTATAGGTGGTGAGAAATTGATTTCGATTGCATTTCCTGAAAGCGATAATTCCACACCCGAAAACTACCAGAATCTGCAGTAGCCCTGGCGTCCTTTGGCTCGAATTTTGATTCGCTGAGACTAGATAGACCATCAACAGAACTGGGTGGATATATTTCAAGATCAACTGACTGTTCCCATTAGCAAGATAACTACGATACGAGGTGACTTCACCGAAGACACTCCAGCAGTGATCACACAATGGCTAACGATACTTGGTGGCAAGAAGACGAAAAGTCCCAAACCCAAGAGATTTGCCTACTAAAATGTTAAAAGAGGAGGGTCTCAACGGAGCTTTAGGCTCTGTGGGGGTTGTTGAAAGAGTCTACTATCGACTATGACAGCTTTTTAGAAGAGGCTTAGGCTCAGTGACGAACCGTCTCAGTCTAAGACATCAAGCCCTCCCAGGAATCACCAAGAGACCACGAGCCGTATAGTGGTCCTGTTCGCTATCTTTTTGCCACCAAGATCCACGCCGTGCTTCCGGCGCCGAAGAACTTGATCGTTGGTGTCTAGGCCGTCGCTGATTCCTGGCCCTCCAGGTTCACCCGGGTCGCAGCCGGCCTGAACCGAATCATCTGTTAGCAACGTGTTACAGGCTACAGCTACGAGGAGCTCCGCTAGGGTTACGTGGTCACGCAGGAGACATCCTCGCCACTCCAGGGTTTGTAAATACTCAGGACTAATCAGAGATTAGACCTGCAAAAACAGCTTTCTGGCTGCTCCCTCTCAAGAAAATCTCTCCTTCTTTCTGTAACTAGAGATGGACATAGCATATGGCCTCCCTGGTTGAATAGGCCCGGAGCGCACTCTTTAACACGATGTATGACTCCAAGTGTAGCAATCTCATATCATTTGCTCTCCAACGTCTTCAGGTGAATATATTCATATGTGAAAGGGATAGAGATGCACTATTTACATCGCTCCATTGATTTCGTCACCCCAAAGCGCCGTGAATAGGTGATGTATATGCGGCTCATGCTCTAAGCCCCTTTTCATCAAGCTGAGGGGATCAGACCACCCGCGTTGCCTCATCACATGTAATGGACCCTGGAGCCTTTCTTGAAACCAGCATCTTGCTTCAGAGTCTTTCTCGGTAGCCAGGAGACCCAGGATGTAGTGTGGTGATGTCAAGTCCATGTAGGGACAAGCTTTTATGCGGAACTCTCTCACGGCCTCTTTCAGTTCGGTTCCTACCGAATCAAGATCGATCGGGAATGATAGGGGCCAAAGCAGATTGAGGTATATTTCGAGTGAACGGGATGTGGCCTTTATGTAGGGCTCGTTGAATTCTCGAAGAGCTTGAGTTGCAAGCCGTAGTCTTTCGAGTAGCCCTTCAATGTCATGGGAAGCTTGTCCCACATGACCTGTTTCTGGAGCACCTACGGCGGTCTTGAGTAAAGATATATCGGTTGAGATGGGAGCTAACGTGGATAATACTTGGTCACCGTGGCTTCTCAGCATGTCGACGACCTTGGGATGGTAGAAGCGTGGGAAGCCCAGAATGTGGTTCATGAAGTCCCTACATCATTAGCGTCCGCGCATTGAAGGGCAAAGGGGCTGTACGAACAAGGCAATGAGGCTGCGTAAAACAGGTGGCAGAGAACTTGCGCCATGATGTCGTCTCTGCTGCATCATCTTGATCAGTCCCTCCATGTGGACATTCCACGCTTCGTCATTGTCGGCCATGCGCTCCCCGAAGGCCATGGTCATCACAGCTCCTATCATCGCATCTGACGGTACCTGCTCGCAGCTGATACGGTCTACCAGGAGCTTCGTCGCTCTTGATAGATGGAGGTCGGCATTTTGCTGCGACTCCTTGTCAGGGCCCCAGCACCTCATGCCCCCGGCTAACGACGCTTCGAACACTACCGGCTCTGAGGTGATAAGGTCGAACCAGGCCTTTTCCACGGGGTCCTGGACGGTCGGCCGTATGTCTAGAAAGACAAGGTAGCGGAAATTACGGACTACAATGTGTCAGATACACAGCAATGGCTTTGGGGGGGATACTAAAGCGACTCTAACGCACGTAGCTGCATGGAAGGGACACATGGGGGAGATTCCCTGGTTGGCAATTTCGTCGGATTTGCTTCCCAGGAGGTTCGTTGGCACTTTTGCTGACACCTCTTTCTTCGATGCAATGCTTGTTGAGGGGTCTTCTCGTTGCCCTCGTTGCCCTTGGTCTCAACCTGGGATGTGCGCTGGCGTCGCTTGGCAAAGTTGGATTTGGTGATGTATGCCCTCATCTGCCGCGAGTCGGCACGAGACAATACCGGGGCACCCGTCGCGTTCAGGAAAATAAGGCCTTGCTGATTCATTCTTGCTGGATTTATTTTCTGTTTATGGAAAATGGTGTTCAGGATCAAGATCGCTAGAGAAACCCGGGGAGGTTGATAATCTGATGATATGTCGGGGAATGTTGATTAATAAGTCGACCTATACCCGATTCGGAGAATGAGATTTTAGTACAAAGTTGAAATAACCACAAACGGCATGAGCTCCACTTTTATCTTCAATGTCCTTTCCAGCGATTCTGGGGGCGTCCCATCAATAAACCATCAGTATATATAAAACTATACTTTTCGGATCTTATTCGTACAATGATTTTCAATTAGGATAACAAAATTAAAATAATAGATATTACCTACTTTAAAAGGATTTTGATATAGTAGTTGGGTAGTTCTGAATAAATGGTTTGTACGGGCCGTGCCTGCTTCTTAGTGATTGCAGACTTGTGATGGGTGCACAAAGTCCATGTCCCAAGGATCCATAATCATCCCGGTTCTTTGACTAGGAGCCCATTCATCAAGCCCACCAATTCGCCTCGATGGGGCGTATGATAAAGGGCCCTCGACTCTGGAGGCCGGTCTATCCGGCCTCCAGAGAAGGATATAAACCCTTCCGAAGTACGTCTTCATACTACCCATCCACCGGTCCTATCACACGCACAAGACTTGTAACTAATAGGCATAAAGACCATATTGCGACCAATCGCCGACCCCGGAACCCTCCCAAGATGTCTCGACGATGGGTTTTGACCGGACAAGAGGGCTTCGAGACCTCTCTGGAGTACCAGCGGGATGTAAAAGTCCCATCTGCAAGCGAACTCGGGCCCAAGGATGTCCTGGTTGAGCTGCACGCTGCCAGCCTCAACTACAGAGAGCTTGTCATTGCTGGCCCGGCTGTAAGTCCAAGAACGGCCATGTACATGTTCTAGATGCTAACACCTGATCAAGGGTATCAACGGCCCCATCAACCCACCAATCGTCCCCGGATGCGATGGCGCCGGTGTCGTCAAGGCTGTCGGTCCAGCCGTCCGAGAATTCCACGTCGGAGACCGTGTCATCACCTACCTCGCCCCCAAGCTCGCCGAGAGAGACGGCGACGATGCATTGGCTGGCTTGGCAGACGCCGTGCTCTGTCTCGGCCAGGGAGACGATGGGACTCTGCGGTCACACGGTGTATTCCCGGAGGTCGGCCTCGTCCATGCGCCCAAGTCACTGGGATGGCTGCCTGCTGCAACGCTGACTTGCAACTGGACCACGGCCTGGAACGCCTTTTTCGGCCTCAAGGGCCACCATGTTGAGCCTGACTCCTGGGTCCTGGTCCAAGGGACCGGCGGCGTCAGCGTTGCCTGCTTGCAACTCGCCGCTGCAGCTGGGGCCAACATCGTTGCGACAACCTCCTCGGATGAAAAGGCCGCTCGTCTCAAGGCTCTCGGTGCAAAGCACACAGTCAATTACAGGACGAGCCCGGATTCCTGGGGTCAAGAAGCCCGCGCTTTCACTCCTAGCGGGCGAGGCTTCGATTTTGTCATTGACATTGGTGGCAATGAGACGCTCGCGCAATCTCTAGCCTCAGTTCGCGTGGACGGTCTCGTCCAGGTGATCGGCGGCGTTGGAGCAAACGCGGATGCAGTGCCCCTATTCTCTGTTCTCCTCCATACCTGCGTTGTTCGTGGTATTTTGGCTGGCAGTAGAACACATCTCAAGGAGGCAGTGCGCTTTATTGACGAGAAAGGGATCGTACCCGCCGTGGACGATATAGTTTTCGAGTTGGCGGAGGCAAAAGAAGCTTATAGACGCCTGAAGGAGAAGAAGCATTTTGCCAAGGTGGTCATCAAGATTGATCATCCAGAGGCTTGACCCAGTCACAATGGGACTATGCAGAGTGTTGGTGGAGATAGGGATCCTTATTAGAGTCGATTGATGATGTGTCTTGCGCACTAAAGCCTCAAAGTGTTCGCCTTGAGCTTCGTTGCGTACCTGTATAAATTGTTTTACATCACCACATACGCTCTGGCTTTGAGAAACCCAGCCATCAGTCTACAGTGCAAGGTATGAAACAACACGGTTAGTTATGGAGCTGGACACGCAGAAATTGAAGAAATATTTGTGATTGAACTTATCGTTCATTGCGTTGAGATGTCGGGTCTGGCATTTTTTTGCTGGTTTTTACTTTATACTCGAACTCTCCCATCCGTCATTAAACTTATAGCTTCATCCATTCTTCACCCATCTTCCTCATAGTTGCTGTAGAATATCGTGGAATCATAAAATAGGACGTGTGACTCTAGTTCAAAGGGATTTCCTTCACAATCAGAAACCAGATTCCATGCTTCTAGTACCGAGTCCCGAAGACTCCCCCCGGTACACATGCCCTTTTTCTAGGACCGCCGTAATGATTAATAGGGACAGTCGGGGGCATCAGTATTCAATCGTCAGAAGTGAAACCCTCCCTTGTTCCGCGACACAATTATCGACTAAAATGGTATGAAAGCAAACTCCGCCCTTGCGCTCGAGGTCATCAGGCAGCTGGGGTCCCTATCACAACAAAGATGCTAGCCGGTGCCCTGGTGGCGAAGGCTAGCATGACAGGCTGATTCTATAAACACAGTCGCTGTTGATCCATGCGAGGTGGGGTGGGTTGCACTGGTTGCGAAAGAACAACAAAATGCTTTTCGAAACAAAGGGCAATAGGCGAAATTTCGCCTATTGCCCGTCAAGACGAGCGATTGCTGCGGGGCGTCGACCCTCACGAAAGCGGCCGCGTGCGGTACGTCGTACTGAGGATGCCTGGTCTAAGGACACCGCCATGGTTGAAGCTGTGCGCTGAACACTCTTCTTGGGGCGCCCAAGCCACACTGACTCTTGTGGTCCAGGTACGGTGGCGTGATGTCCTGGGGGACTGAGGGGGGAAGGTAGGGCTGTTGAGAAGAACGATCGCTGCGTACTGCGGACCCAACGTTGCTGTCTGCGGTTGAGATCCAGTGGGGTGCGGGCATAGTTGAATGTATAGAATGGTAGCATTTGAAAAATCTGTCGTGGACGAAATCACCAAATTAGGAGGTTCCCTCGATCCGTTCCCAGCAAAGAGTTCCGATTCTCCAAGATCGGAGAGAAATACTGCCAAGGAACAAGGATTTTATCGGTCCTGGAGCTGGGCCTTCGAGTCTGCCTCCATTGCGTACGTTTTGGAGGTGATCCGCTTGGAGAGGTCCATCCCTGCGTTCGACTTCGGCCGGCACTCCTTCACTGACTTCTCCTTCAGCTGGCTCGTGAGAGGCGCGTTTATTGCCGTTCGTGTTCTTCTTCTTCTTTTGAGACCGTTCTTCTTGACAGTTATGGAGGAGGCTAAAGTCTTGGGCTTGTTCAGCTAGGTCTTTGTTAGCGAGGCATACTGAAAACAACGTTGTGTGCTTGTAAGTACCGCGTTCAAGCTTGGGGCCAGCATGACACGAACGGGAACGAGATGTGCATTGAAAATGTAGTCCGTATCGGCCTGGGGATGGGCTGGGTGCAATGAAGCTTCAAGTCAGAGATTTGTAAAGAATCGCAAAGAGGAAGTAGGAAGGTCTCGCAGGTAAAGTAGGTAGGAAGATTAAAGCTTCCTCGCCTGTGCATATAGTGATCCTTACAGGGGTAATGGCACTATAGTGACTCTTACAGGGAACCTGAGGCCCTGAGCTATGGGGCTTCGGGAGGTCACGTGCTATTTTCATCCAATGAGCCTCCCTAATCAGGCCCCATCTCATCACAGCGGGTGCTGTTGGCTTCTCCACATAAACCCCTTTCTTACAGAAGCACCTGGCTCTGCGGTCCATGATACTTGCAAGCAGAAAAGCATCATGGTATATTGTGGGAAACCAAGCCTGGGATGCGAAAACTGTCGGTAAGTATTGTTATTAGGTCGATGGTCTAATCCACTAACACCAGCTGTCTATATAGGAGATTACACACCAAGGTAAAAGCAAGAATTAGGTGCCCAATACACACATCACTTGTTAACCACATGCGCAGTGCGATCAGCGACGTCCCTCTTGCTCACGATGCGTACGGATGAAGAGAACATGTGTTGGGTATAGAGATCAGTCAACCCTGATGTTCCGTGATGAGACTGCGAGGACCCAAATCAAGGCTCGACGAAGGCATGCTGGCAGAGGCGCAAACTTCCCCCAGCTCCCAACTCCCCCGCCCTCGTCTCTGCTTTTCCTACAAAGCCAGGATATTGCCATTTGCTACTTCTATACCACCACCCTAAGTAATCTTTCAGAGAAAGACCCTACACGCCAGCTTCAAATGTACCTACCAAGCCTATACACCAAAAGCCGGATAGGGTCTGCTCTACGCTTGGCAACAGAGTCAATCTCGCACGTCCTACTTCCGAATTTGGTACCAGACTCCAAGAGAACAGCAAGAAAAAGATATAATGCGGCTCTCATTGCAATTCGACGCGCAATCCAGGATCCTATCCAAGCAAAAACGGATGAGACGTTGTACGCAGTCCTCCTCCTGTGTGGCTACGAGGTTCGTGTTTGGGTGGGGTCGGAATCGTTCTCCTTTTTTAGACTAACAGGGGATCATCCTACTAGACCATAACTCGGGAAACAACCTTGCGTTCAGCTTGGGACACTCATGTCAGCGGAGGAGCTGCTCTGGTACAATATCGAGGGTCAAATATGCTACAGTCACAGCTGGCACAAAGCCTGTTCTGTTTCGTTCGCAAAAGCATTGTAAGATTATTTCTACAGATTCTAGTCCGTTATCAGCTTGCTAACCTTTCCTCTAGGTTTTGAGCCAAATGCAAGCCTGCTCCCCAGTCGACGAGGTCTTCACCAAACCCGACGCTTTTCAGGACCCGGAGAACCAGCTCTTCGCGATAGCATCCAGGATACCCGCACTTCAGAGCGATGGCATCGCTATCCTTGATCGAGCGGAAGGTGCAAATGATTCTCGCGCGGAGAAGTTGGCTAAGAGCGCGGAAGCTATCGACCAGGAGCTCTCACATTGGGCAGGCAACCTTCCAAACTCCTGGTCATATACCCAAGCAACCGAAATTAAAACCGGATCAAATGCGCGAGAATTTTCTCCCCAGCACATTCACCGATATCCAGATTTCTATGTGGCTCGTGTTTGGAATTTCTATCGTGTTTCGAGACTCATTTTGCTATCGTTGCTGTGTCGAGCAACAGCCTTATTGCGAACAGGCCACAACGAAGATCAACACATGGCCACCAGCAACGCAAGAAGAGAAAGCAAAATCCAACAGATTGTGGATGAAATTTGCGCCAGTGTTCCGTTCCTTTTAGGGCATGATCTGTCGAGAATGACTGTACCGGCGGGTGTGGAAAAGGGTCACCAGCCCCCAGAATGGTATGGGGCCCCTGCCGATTGGGGAGATGGAAATCAAGCCAAACAATTTCCGACTGGAAGCTTCTCTCTTATCTGGCCCTTGTATGTGGCATCTGGCGCAGTCACGATATCAGAGAATCAACGGCAATGGATCCACTGGCAACTCCAGAGCATTGCCGCTAGCGGAGACTCGCAAGCACGGTTGGCTCTAAATACACCAAGCCAGACTCTCCTCGGTGGCCCTGAATCACTCCGGTTTGATTGCGTGTAGCATTCAATGGTTGTGCCAGTGAGTGACGCGTGAAACCAGCAAGGGTGCAGGGGCTCATGGATAACGACAGGGATTCAAATATTGGCTCCATCCAAACACTAAACCACATCGAGTATGCTTTGAGATGCCCATTCAGCGTCGAGGAAGTTTGATAATTGAATCCACTACTTCAAAATCATTTTCAGCTCAGGACACTCCCCTTCCGGTGGCAGTCAGGATCTGGTTTCTATTCGCTCCTTCATGTTTGTCTATGGCTGCCTAATTTCCCAGGCTTGCTCAACGATTTGTTAGACTATATATGCCCTCCTCCAAGCTCTCAGGAATCACGCTCTTTCCTCACTCTACTTCTCCTCCTTAGTCTCGCCGATTACACCCTTCTTTCGCACGATGACTCAATTTGTAACACCAAGCCAGTATGGCTTACCAGAATCTCCTTCTGCGCAAAAGCTCACTCCACTGGACATGAACATGCCAAGAGTGTACGGCGCAAGGTGGATATTGTGTTTTCCTCTGGAGACTGACGCCGACTACCACGAACTGTATGTACCAGGTCATCGTCCCCATTTAGTCGAAGGAACTAACTAACATGTTATCATAGGTATGAGAAGTTGAGAATCGGACTTGCCCACACCATCCGCTCCATTCCTTGGATCGCTGGTGTTATTGTGAGTACCACTATATGCTCAGTTCCCTATTGCCGCCTCTGGGCTAACATATTTTTCTCTACCTCATAGGGACCCGAAGAGGGCAGTGAAATATCGAACAATAGAATTCAGATCGTGGATTCCATATCGGGCCTCAGGTTTTGGTCGGTGCATACACAGCCTTTCGTCTCTTGAGAACATCACCACTCACACAAACTCTGCATTTAGCTATCGAGACCTAGCAGACGTTCTTCCGCCCTACGAGGATCTTAAAACGAACGGCTTCCCACTTTCGAGACTTTCAACCGAAGAACTCGGCCCAATCGGAGTGATGGCAGAACCTCCACAGCCAGTGATGAAGGCACAAGCCAATTTTGTCAAGGGAGGACTTTTGCTATCAGTAGGCATCCACCACGCAGCGGGAGACGCCACGGCTCTTGACACGATTGTCGGCACCTGGGCACAGAACACAGCTGCAGCTAGCGGTTGTGGCTCTTTCAGCACTTATGACTCCCCATCATACGACCGTGAACCCCTTATGAACGGGATTTCCGGAGCACCCTTGTCTGATTTTCCAGAGTATCAACTGATACCAGCAGCCAAACTGCAACCACCTCAGATGCCTCCTCAACTCCCCTCACTAGTCACTCACGTCTTCTGCTTCTCCCCACAAACGCTTACTGAGCTCAAATCCTCCGCCGCTGCTTTTTCGACCAACGACGCACTTTGCGCTTTCTTATGGAGCAGAATGACAGTCGCTCGATGGACCGGTGGCGCCTCCTCTACCCAAGATGACATAAAGAACAAAGCTTCTTCGATGTGGTACGCTATCAATATTCGCAGCCGCACAAGTCCACCGCTCCCGCCAACATATCTAGGCAATGGATCAATGTGCACAACAACAGAGCCACTTGCCGCAGCTACCCTGCTCGGTGATAATGGTCTAACGCAAGCTGCCACCACAATTCGCAAGTCGCTAGTTGCGTTCAATAGTCCCAGCAGAGTGCCTTTGACAATCGGTCTCCTCAGTTCGAGGCCCGATCCAACAGATTTCGCGCTCCCATTCAACGCTTTCCTTGGACCAAACGTCGTTGCTACATCTTGGACTGATGTTAAAGTTTACAAAAGAAACTGGGGCGCATTAGGCTTCATTGATTCTATGAGAGTCCCGGGCGAGGGATCGGATGGTAATATCATTATTCTCCCAAGATTGAGAGACGGTAGCCTAGAAGCTGTTGTCGGGCTAGAATCAGAGGCGATGAGCAGACTTCTCGCCGATGAACAGTTCAACAAGTTTGCAAAAAGGTGTGCTTAGGCCATCCATCTCGAGCCATATGCTTACAGATATTGAGCAAACTGGAATTCTTCCCGCACAGCCCTTCCAATGGCATCGAGCATAATCATTCTTTCTAAGCGACACGCTGTAGAGTAGTCCAGGATAGACGTCGAGCATTGCATCATTTTCCTCTTTCACCATCATTTATTACAGCTGTCCGCATATTGTCCCCTGTGCCAGCCTAATCAATCTCTTTATAAGAGAGACTGTCCGTGAGATAAATAACGGCCAGTATTTCTCATATTCATCTACGGAGCCTTGCCAACACCCCGCTGCCACAATGACACAGAAAGGGGGTGGAAAGAGAGAGAGAGAACAGCACCATTCCGAAGAGTCCGACCCCATTTTTCCCTCCTCAGCTCTAGCTTCAGATTCGACGGCTGGGTAACAAAGCCTTGCTTTCTGTTTCCTCTACCTCGCTAGAATATCTCTTCAATCCTAGGCTAGATTAGCTGTTGCCTATTCTACATCTCATATGTCTTTTCACGATTTCAAAGTAGAGTCAAGTTCAATTCCCCTTCTAGGTTTTTTTCGTTCGGGAATAACTCGGCGCTGCGTTTATATGACCACTCAAACCCACGATCCAGAGAGGAGCGGAATGGCGCTACTCCTCCAGTTATATTATCTCTGCCCTCGAAGAACCGAATGGCTGTAACTAACAAGAAACACTAGATGAGTCGGCTTGAAGTCGGCTGGTCCCTCGAGCTACAAAGTTCTACGCAACCCAGTTATCCAGGATCGAACAACCGACCAACGAGCTCAACTGTCTTCATAAGAATCAACTCCGTTCCTCCATACGCGAAATTCCTCTCACAGATGCGGTGGCCAACACATACAAACTCTTCAGTTGGAGGACTAAAGGAATCTTCAAGCAGTAGGCAATTCGCCAATCCTGGAGATGTTGACAAAGTTAACCCAAAAGGGGGCAAAGAGTCATCACGTCGAGCACGAGCCAGAAGTTGAGTCTAATCAGGCCCAAGGCAAAGCGGGTGAAAGAGTTGGAGTACAAAGTGACAGAAAAGCCATGAAGATGCCAGACCCGACATCTCAACACAGATACAGTTGGGAAAAGGCTCTGCCAGTCAGCCAGGCAGAATGAAAGCTTTGTAAACCTTCATACCAACGACTCACTTACTCTCCAGATGAGCTGCTCGCCGAGTGACTATTCAAACTACCCCCTCTCTCACCTGCCTTCACATTCGTCTTTATCCAAACACTTTGACACACCAAGCTCGAGGCCTTTCGGCAACCCAGTGAATACCAGTTGCCCTGGGCAGAGCACTTACACTGGCCCGAAGGCTGTCGACGCACCGAATAATCATGCAGCTGGAAATGATACACAGCACATCATCTTCTCGTACATGCTAGAGCGTCGAGAAGGGTAAACAATACATGAGTGTGATAGTTCGAGTAGCTTGACTCACACAGTACAGAAGAGAGTTCGAGTATAAAGTTGAGAACAATAATAGAAGATGCCAGATTCGACATCTCAACACAATGAATAAGACGTGAGAGTATTTCATCTCGACTTCAAGACAGCAGGGGACGAAGTTGGTAGCTTGGAGCTGTATAAGGACAAGTCTGTATTGGGGAAATCGAGGCGAAGGGCGGCTTAACCTCATGAGATCGTAACAACAAGGCTACTCTTCGTAGTAAATAATGTCAGAGAAATCAATATATTTCAGTTAGTAAACTACACCTTATCCGCATCTTACTACATATAAATCCTATCTCAGCCGATAAGTGCCGACTCAAGAGCTCTAATATCCGCAACCTAAAAACATGCCGCCCGAGATACTGCACCCACCAGCACAATACTTATGCCCCTCCAACCCAATGCTTAAGTAATCTGATCCCGAGTATGTGATGTGGTCACCAGGCCAATGGTTATTCCTATGACGTTCGGCCACCGGTTGTCAGCAACTCAATCCACACGACTCCTTCTCTTATTGACCTGCTTATGCTCCTCGAGGGCATCCTGCGCTCCGTTTGGTTTCAATTTGATTGATGCTGCAAATTCAGGTCAGTGTTGACGACTTGAATAATTCAATAGCTGTCGAGCTAGCCTCGTGGGGATCGGGAGTTACCACCAAGAGTCGAAAGGCGGCTGGGCATTTTGTAGATGAGTGACGGTTGTCAAACAGGTGTTATCAAAGACTTGTCTTCGGGAGGCTTGACAAGCCGACGCACGAGGTAGAAGGTTAGGCTCTGGTTAGCACCGCTCGCTGCGGCGTTTCTAATGATGTGATGCCCTTAAATGTTCTTGGCTGCAGGCGCGCCATCGAGTACTCCCTTGGCTGAAAGACCGAGGTAATCATCTTGAGCCCCACCATGCTAGAGAAAGAGCATTTCATTTATTGCTCTTTAACGAAGTTTCCTGGTAAGCGCAAGTCGCCGACTTGCTTTGATTTCGTCCCTGCCCTTTTTGCACACCGCCCGTCGTTGGCATCTCCGGCCGAACCGGCATCTGCATCTCGATGTCCGCTTTCACGTGGGTGTATTGACATGCGCTATTCATTTTGCTGAGATGTCGGGCTCTGGCATCTTCCATTGCTGCTGAACTTTATACTCAATTTCCCTTGCGTACGTATCGATATGCTTGTACTTCTTCCGGGGCTTTCTACACTCTCCAGTCTCTTGTTAGCCGTTGCTCGAACGAGTCATTGTTGGTTTGCATGTGCTCCTCCAGTGTATCGTTGTAACGTCTTTGCTCGAAAAGATGTCGTTGAATCTTTAGGGCCGCGTTTTCCCTCGTGCATCGGAAACTCAAAGTGTACGGGTCGGGGGCCTTCGCATGAGGTCAAATCCACCTGTGATCGTGGTTAAGTTAGATACAACAAGGAAAAGTCGAATGAATAGTCCTACAGACAGATTGACACATAACCAAGGGGGTGGTGATAAGGCAAAATCAAGCTTTTGACGTCGATCAGTTGGTTGTAGCTTTCGTGAAGATGATTTGGGTTGCGAATTGGTGCTTGGCCTGCGAACTGGTTGTTTAGATCGGAGGGAAGTTCTGGAGAGGGAGTCGCCTTTCAAGGGACTGTGCTACCTGCACCGATGTATTTTAGCTACCCTAGACCTCCCCCCTTTTCCTCTCAACTTCTTCCATCGCTTCAAGTTCGGTCACATCTGCAAACCATCGAGGAAGATAGAACAGGATAAGTGTTAAGGAATTGAAAACTTGAAATTTTTTGAAATTCATCTTCTGAGCTAGTTGCAAATACAAATATGGACTCTTGGCCTCGAAGCTGTCAATCTGTTCCATGGTCACACTAGCTTCATCATCCAAACAATCAATCAATGCTCCTTGCGCCGGTAAACCTTTCCATCCGGATTTCAATGATCAAAGAAATTCAATTGGCCTCATCATTCGTCCTGTTGCCCTGTATTCGTCATTCTTCGGCTGTGGGAGGACGTGACTTGGCACCCATGTCTTGCGTATCGTGGTATCGCTCGTAATTCGTCTCTTCTGAGCTTCGGGCTCTAATAACATCTATGTAATTGGAAAACGTATCTGTCGTAAATTCAATCTGAAAGCTTTTCTGTGAGGTCGGTCTCATGATGTCGAATTGTTATGCTGCCTCAGCTTTGGTAGTGCATGAAACTTCGCCGTCTTTGTCGGCTGCCACTCTATTCGCTGATGGTGGGCATCGGTGACTGCGTGTTGATGGAACGTGCAACTCGGTCAAGTGAGTTTCTGTCAAGCCTTTGTTTCTCCACAAGCTTCCGGAAGATGATACGCTTTAGCAGAGCAGGCACTGGGTCCGAAAGGCAGACGGCCATTGGGATGGTTCTTGTTGCACCCGGCAGTTGCGTGAGCGCATCCATGTCTGGATCCTTGTACACCCCTACTATGGGGCGAGGATCATCAGGCAGCGCGATTGTATCGTAGTTGTCTTCTGCGATAACGATGTATCCATCCACTGGACTGCCGTGCTCAGGGTTGTGGTTCGTGATGAGGGTGATCCTATGATCACCTACCTGCAGGGTTTCTGGAATGTCACGCCGGTGGTTGACCCAGTCGAGTGCCGTCTGCGGATCGTTCGCAACAATGCCGATCGAGAAGTTTGATGCAGGGAAGCATGGTAATTCAACTCTGGTCGAGATGTCGATAGCCGAGGTCCCGTCAAAATCGGCCGAAGGATTAGCTGTGACAATGGCGCAGCGGTCGTTTGGGACTCCCTTAAGCCGGAAGTTGCGTGAAGCGACAATAACTCTGGACTTTTCATCCGGTATTTCAGACAGTCGCTTAGTTAGGAGTGGATCGTTCACTGATCCCACGGTAAGCAGAACGACATTTGCCTTTGCCATATCGGACACCTTCATGCTCTTGTCGATCGCACCTTCGGGCCTCACTTGATCAAACCATATCGGATCATCGTTATGGCCCTCCAGAACAAACACATTGGGCTGGGTGGAGGTGGCGCTGTCGGGTGTGGAAGATTGGCCTTGCTCGGCCGGGACCAAGAGTGGTTCAGAGCTTTGCCGAGCATTGTTTTTCTTCATATGCTTCTTGAGTCTCTGAAAGCAGAGGGCAATCTCGAGATTCAGCTTGCGAGAGTTGGCAGCGGCGTTGGGCTTTGGGTGCCTCTTGGGCTCTGGGTGCCTTTTGAACTTGGGCATGTAGGTAAGTCGATCACATACTTTCTCTGAGAGCGGCTGCTTCTCTCCCTTTACGTTGCACTTGAAAAAGTTGACGATGTGCTTGAGCACTGAAGCAGGTGTTTTCTCGGTACTGGCGGGTTGGTCCTGGCTTGTAGCAACTGGAGATGAGGCTGTTAGTTCCATGGATGGCTAGAAGCATGCTTTTTATGTATAAAGAAACAATGACATACAGCGAGAGTTATTTCTGGCAAAAAGGCCGCCTAGGGCGCCTCGGATCGGGGGGCATGGAGCCATACCAACCCCTGCCATGATGGTTGGATGCTGAGTTCGGCAAAGGTTCAAGTGGCAACTGCAAGCTTGGATGTATGAAGATGGTTTAACTTGCGAGTTCAAGAACAAGGTGACAAAGAACTTCTAGAGAAAAGGTTGATGTGCAGAAGTTGAAAAAGAGGAGGAGGAGGAAGGGGGAGGAGGAAGAGAAAGAGGACGGAGAAGGGGGGAACGAGGAGGCTGGGCTACCAGTCAACGCGTGTTTACTTACATCCCCTCAGAAACAGTGCCCCTCTTCAGAGGCCTCTCCAGAGGGATCATTTCTGAGATACAGCCAAACCAGGTACCTGTAGCAGGCCTGCCCAGTGATCTGAATAACTCAACCCTAGTGGACAATGGGACGTGAGCCCACGTGCGCGGGGTCAAACATGGGGGGTACCTGCCTTGTTTGTCTCCATGGCCGTTCTAGGCAACCAAGACATCAATAAGAAGATACAATCACGCGTTCCGGAAAGCAGTGCCGTGTGTAACGGCAAAGAGATGGAGCGAGATGCTCACGTGGGGATCACTCAGTTATTATTTACGTGTTTTGCAGCCGTACACAACATGGATAGTTCAAATCGCAAGGGCTTCTGTGAAACTTGCTGGGGGGACAATACATGGAGTCTCATTCTAAGGTCTTATTCAGACGTGCAGGCTGTTCTCTTTCATCTAGGAACAGACACATCTTTCCCCACAAGATCCAACACTCCCTGAGTCAGGTTTTTGGAATGCAAAGCTTATTTCAACCTTATTTCATCTGACCCACCCCTTTCTCCTTCCCTCAAGCTCAGACCACCTTAACAGGGGTCTTGTGTGGTCACTGGCCGGCTCAGTCTCGAGCTTACATGCCCACTGAGCCAGCAACCCGATGCTAGACCTTTTACAATCTCATAGAAAGTTACATGAGATTTCATTTGGAAGATCTGCGGTATCTATTTGTATGTTTGCTAAGTGAGTGGCGTGGTTTGGCTTCATCTATTCAGCGATACTCGGCTTCATGGTATGGTAATGCACCTTCTGCATTTCACATCAAGCTAGGAAGAAAGGAAATGAAAACGTCAAGTCTCACATTCAGACAGGCTTGAAAATAAGCAATTAAAATTCTACTATTGAGCTTGGAAGGCTTAAAAATGTCCGTGCAATCGAGGACAATGCGTGTACGATTCCTGGTTCGGTTCGTCACAAAGACACAACGGTCATAAATCGCAGACTGTCTACCCAAATGCCCAATCGTGACTAGAAGTCCAATATCAAATCGCGCTGGAAAGCAAAACGCCTTGGACTGGGCTTTTATGCCTACTGCCATAGCCCCAAGCTCTAGTGTTCACCCCCTGGTGCGCTAGCCAGCTCCCTCAACGTGTTGCTGGATAGCGCTTCAATGAGGGTGCTGATGGTAAACTTTGGCGCATCAGTCCTCCCTCGGTCTGTATCGTCGTCATCAAGAGGCAGCCTGATGAAGATCGGACCGTCCTTGTTATGCTCGGAGACAAAGAGTGTATGGCCCCTGAATTTGCCATGGTGCAGGCATTCTGGTAGAGGACAACGTCAGCCGCAGGTAAGAGAAAAGTCCATGAGAGTAAATCATACCGTATGCCTTTAGAAAATTATGCTTGTGCTTAACACAAACCCATCCCTGGCCCGTTCTGGGGACGATAAAAACGCGGTCGACTTCGCAGGTCTGTGACACAAAGGCCTCGAGATCCTGCCACCGGGTGTGGGGAGGGAGCTGCATCCAACTGGTCAGGCATCTCTGTCGCATCTACGGGTAATTTTAAGATCCCTCAAGAGATATAGGTAGAACTCAACGTTGTTCAATTTTAGATAGTACGCCTCGGTCTTGCTTGCGCTCGACACGTGGTCCTGGCGAGACATGGTGGTGGTGGGGGGGCGAGTATTTTGGGAGCACTTCCCCAGGAAATCCCTAAGGACAAGAATAGAAGAGTCGCGGGTTCTTATAATTAATCGCAGTGGGATGAGAAAAAGAAATTCGCACTTATTTCTGACTGAAATTTGTCGGTCACTCGTCATTTATGAGCGAGGGTGCCTATTGGGCCAGGACTCCCGCACCCGAATGATATCACAATGTCTCAGAACAGGTCCCATATCCAAGTCAGAGCTAAGAATGGCCGTTGGCAGTCCGTCTGGCACAGCTGCTGCACGCTCGTTGGAGCTCGGGCGCCCAGCTGAAAGGACTATGGCTTGGTGGCTGCAGCAGTGCGCACACATTCACTGCTCAATCAACGCGGCCAACAGCTCGTGTTTGTTTCTCCCACTGACGTAAGATCTACCCTGCATCTGACTGGCCACCAATTTTCCTTTCTCTGGGAGACATTTGCCCGTCGTGGAACACTGGTGCTTCATACGCTGAGCTACCGTTAGCAACCATCGTCTCTCACATTCATCAATTTCAAATTGTCGCGATGGAGCCACACGCAACTTCAATCACTTTCTTCGTCCTTTATTAGTTTAATTTTCCGCTGGTCTTTTTCTCCATGCTCCTTTTCCTTTTCTTCATCTTGATTTTAATTTCATTGTTTTTATTTTCTTTTGCCAGGAATCATCCTCTCATGATCCGCCCCCTGTTTTTCGCCTAATGCTCGCTTCCACCCCAAGATTCGGTCATGCTCCTCGCACTCAGTGGCTCTACTTTCATCGTCTACCAGTTTCGCGCATCCTCAGACAATAAACTTCAAGGTGAGCCAATAATACGGACGTTGAGGGTCACAAGCTAAAAGTTGAACAAACGCCAGGTTCCGACAGAGACAATGGGCAGGTCCAATTGGATACAAGCCCCCCCCCCCTCCCGATTCTTACCACGCTAGAAGCAGAATATGTGTTTTGGTCTCGGGATTCTTGTGGCAAAGTTCAGGACAAACCTCAGATGGAGACTAGGGTGCTTGGGACCACTGCGGGAGAAATCAGAAGATTTGGGAGTCACGACAGTTAGCACTTTCGGCTGGTAGAGGATCGAAGTTTGGCCCATTACGAATGCAGGAAGCTTTGGAGGACAGAAACAATTATTAGTCACTTGCAATTACATTACTGCCTGCACATCTGAATCTTGCTTGCAACTACGCCAAGCGAATCTCCCACCCATGCCCAAATCCACGCCCAGTCTGGGGAACCTGGTGCCGAGGAAATTGCAGGGGCAGGGATTCGAAAGGCTGAGAGAGTGGAGCGATTCTGTTTAGTGGATCATTGCTCGTTGTTCTCACGCGTAGGACGGACGGTTTGTGGATGGAATGGCTCCCAGAGAGGCTTTTGATAATCGTTCAATGGTGTAAAGCTCTGGCAAAGTCGTCAGTCTTGTCGTCCGAAACATGAGCACCCGTACAGGCAGCAAATTACCCATAAAAACGAAAAAGTGACCCTGATCTACCGGCCACGGGCCAAGATAAATAAAGGTAAATTGCCACCCTTCCGTCTCCAGGGCATCACCGCATGAATAATAAATACATTGGTGGCAGAGATTGCAATTCAGTGTAGAACGCTAAGACGGTAATGCGTTTGTTAGTACAATTCAGTGCTAACAGGACAGGGCTGTTCGTGTTTGATAAGTGTATGCACCTAGCTGTTTGTTTGCTGTGAAGAGTTTGGCGGCTCTGGCAGATGAGAAATGTAACACGGCACAAAATAAAATAGAATAGCAGTGGCTGGCCATGGTGAGTAGGCCCAGAAGCGAGGGTCACTCCGCAGTCCTCGCTGTCACTGAAGCGAGAGGCGGGAGGCAGCTCGCCTCAGGCACCAGTTTCCAGCCGAGCCAAATGCCTTCAGCCTTCAAGACGTGCCTTCCCATTCCAAGCATGGGGAAGTCGAGCCCAGATACCGGGCAGTTGCCCCTCGCCCACCTGCAGGGCCCAGATCATCCAACACTTCCACGCCATAATCTCTCCTCTTAAAGACTTCCAGGCGAGGGACTCGAGGCCTTTACAAGGTTTTATCCTTTCCCAACAGTCTTACAGTAGCTACTCTTCCGTCACTCTTCGCTTCACGCAGGATTCGCCACACCACCTCCCGTTTTTTTGCTGCCAAGATGGTGGGAGGGTTTGTTGAAGCTTTCACAGCTGAGCCCCAAGCAACTGGCGATGCTCTTCCCGTTCCATTTCGGAGCATGGGTGGCTCGTCTCCGGGCTACATTCTGGGGCTCACAATGACTGCACTCCTCGCCCTTCTAGGTTCGGCAAGCCTATTGATTCGTTTTGCTGCCTGCCTGTTCTGTCGAAAGTACAAGGTCCAGGCACAAGATGGTAAGATCCCCATCCTCTTTGTTCCCACGATATACTCTATCGATGAGTCAATCACTAATTGATCCATCTACTACCAGTCATCGGCCTACTCGGAGCGGTTTGTCTTCTCTCGTTCTCTAAAACGCTGTTCAAAGATACTAAACCCGCGAAATCACAGCTTCCGTTCTGCGCCGTGCTCTGGTGTGGGTATGAGAAGATCAAAGCCAATGTCTTCTTTACACCCCAGTCAGATTTGAACCGAGATGCCCTTGGGCGACTGTTCTTTGTATGTCCTCAAATGATCATGCTCATCTTTCACCCGTCTCGTCTGCCATTCATCGCGCTAATCATAGTCCAAAGCTCTCATTCGTTGCCTCGATGATGTTCTACGCGATCTGTATACTCACCAAGTGTGCAACTCTCCTCCACTGGGCCCGAAGCCTCTTCTATCGCGGTGTCTCGCCCGCTGCATCCAGAACCTGCTATATCCTAATCGTTGTCATCCTCGGTTACTTCCCAGCCATCATCATATTCTTCAGTTTGCGGTGTCGCCCGCTGGGGAAGACATGGAGTCCGTGGATCCCGGTTTCCCGCACTAGCAACGCCCCCGTTGCCTTCGCTACAGTTTATGTGAACCTTTTAATAGATCTCGTGATGTTCATTCTGCCATAGCAGGTTTTATGGGCACAGAGATCAAGAAAGCATATGTGGGAAATCTGGGTACTCTACTCGATTGGGTTCCTGTAAGTCTTCCAGTTCATGTCCCACCGTTCATTGCGAAAAGGCACGGCCAGCTAACTTTGTGTTTAGGGGTGTTTGCTGTTCTGTGGGCCAACTACAAGCAATGCATCGAGATCGCAAGCGAGACGAAGGATCAAACATCATGTCCGAAATATACCTCTGGGAGCTGGCTGAAAGCACCATTGTCATCATGGTATTTTGTCTACCCAAGTTCCGGGCACTCGTCGATAGCAATATCCGCAAGCGAGGGAGGAATCAAATACAGGCACCAGCAACTATTGTTAATGTGTCCTCATTTGCCGAAGCAATCCAGATGAAGAGAATGCCTAATGCAAACATTACATATATCATGGAAGCCCCCGCTCCCAAACCGACGGTGGACAATATGGAAAATGGGTTTATTGAGATACTGCCTTCGATCCAGGAGTGATCCTGGTTTTATTCTAGAAGCAAAACATTACTTCAGACTGTAGCACTACTACCTATAATCAAGTATTTCTTCCACTCGCTGTTCTTCTGCTCCGATGTGTCTTCTAAGATTGGGCTTCCCAGCTAGAGTAACCCCTGATTGTAGCTTTGACTGTTTCTCGCGAAGAGAAATTCCGCCTTGCCCCAAAGTAACATGAAGCTCCAACGGTGGCATTCTTTGCTTTCATATAAGCAGGTATCGCTGGTTGTCACCCCATGATACTGTAAAACTCTTCCTCCAGATGAACCATCCGACAAGCCAAAGTCCTTCAAAAACAATTTCTCGTACTTCTCAGAATCTCCCTCTTGTTTTCTGTATGTTCCTTGTCCTTCTCAACTGCTTCTCAACGCCGTTCTCGAGATCCAGAATATTAAGGGGTGGGACATTAGAAGAAGTGGGATGGTAGCTTGGTCGATGTGGGCGTGACTTTCTTCTTTGTGCTTGGGGGATCTGTGGGATGCTGCTGCGAATAGCTTCAGTCGTTGGGGTGCACTGTGGGATACGTTCAGTCAGTTGGGAGTGCAAGCCAAATCAAAACAATTCACTGAGTAGAGGAGCTCGCAGGTGGTACTCCTGCTAGGTTGGTTGAAAATTTGGAAAGATGTTTTTCAGATTGCATGATGAAGATACTACATTATTATCCTACGTTATCTATGGAGCAACTACATCTGTTTTTTGGCTTCAAGAGAGTAACAGCAGGGCGTCGAGGGCCGAGTGTACGCGTGTGGGCTATGGAGGACGGGTGCTGGGGTACGAGATACCTCCCTACGTTCTGCTCACCTCTGGGATGGAAAACAAATGCACCCGGATGCTCATTTTCAAAAATCATTTTAATTATTGGGCCAATGGGAATTCAGAGAAGCCAGGTCAATTAAATTCGACGTGCCTGCAGTCCGAATTGGGAAGCACGAGTGATGTCAACTGAGTGATCTCTGAGGGCCGTCACGTGTGGGAGTGATTGTGCGCGTCCCGCCCCCGCCTACAAAAGCTCCCTCCTTTCCCCTCTTCCTCTCCTCTCCTTCTTTCTTCTTTCCTTCATCACAGGTTAGTGCCTCTTCCTCTTTTTTTCTTCCCCATCGCCCACTACACTCCCCTTTCCTGCTGCATCCTATGTTCTTGGGCTCCTCCCTTGACTGGGGATGTCAGATACACTGCACCTCGCGCCTCCTGGCTATATCTTGGGCTTGCTCAGGGTTGAGTCTTGTTGGCATCTTCCTGGTCGACCCCGGACCATTCCCTTCCCATCTCTTTTTCCCCTTCTTCTTCTTCTTCTCGCACACTACACTCCCCTTTCCTGCTGCATCCTATGCTCTTGGGCTCCTCCCTTGACTGGGGATGTCAGATACACTGCACCTCGCGCCTCCTGGCTATATCTTGGGCTTGCTCAGGGTTGGGTCTTGTTGGCATTTTTCCGTGGTCGGCCCCGGATCACTTTCCTACCAGTGCGATTTCTTACTCACGTCTCCTGGCTATAGCTTGGGCTTGCTCAGGATTGGGCCTTGTTGACATATTGTGGTCGATCCCGGACCACTGCCAGTGCGTTTATTTTTCCTTTTTTCCTTTGTTCTTTTTTTCAGTGCGCCCTTGCGCCTGTGATTTCTTTTGGTTCGTTCAGGGGGCTCGTGGGCTTGGCATCATCAGTTCGTTCAGGGGGCTTGAGTCTGCTTTTGCAGACTCCCGCATAATGATGACAAAAAACAGTCCTTCGAAAGCGGCATCTTTGTTGCTATGGAGGCATCTGGATTGGTCTCTGAACCGATCAAAGTCTGAATGTGGAGTGGTGAATTTCATTTGTGTGTTGGTACTCAGCGTGGTGTTTGTTTTCATCAGAATATGTACATTAGAATTTTTGCAAAACATCGTGACTCAAATGCAACTTTGTCCATTCTCCCACAATTTCATGCAATTTTGGTGTTGTAAAAATCATAACAATTGTGTTGAATGCGCGAGTGACGCGTGTGCGTGTTGTGCATTTCGCGGGGCACCAAAGCTACTTTGGCGTGCCTGCCACATTTCTGAGGCGAAGGTGATATCCAAAATTCCCCCCTCGTGTCCCAGTGACTAAATTCATAGTGATATACGTCATTCTGTGTTGCCGGACAGATTGTCCATCTCACATTCGCCGTGTTGCATCCAAAAAAGGGGGGGGGCGTGGTGAGCGATCCAGACTGTGATCAAGATGTGATGTGAAGAAACACTTGAGTAAATTCCAAGAGTCTACATATGTAGAGTAGATATGGACAATCAGGACTGTTATTGGTCTACTTGGGCATCTAGCACTTCCTACGAGAATGGATTCTGGATTGTGTGGGTTGCTCGTGTAGGCACACGGCTTTGACAAGCACACTCATAATTCTCTACTCTACGGCAAGACCTGGTTGGCCGGCAGCTCTACGGATGGAAACGGCTCACTATGACATCCTCGCCATTTGATAGAAAGCTTCGTCATGGTTTGGAGCTCTGCAGACTTCAAAAACGCTGTGTTGACGGCTCGTGAGGGGGTTTTCGAGTTGGTCGGGGAATTGCACGTTTCGAATCGATCGAAGCTTGGGACGAGTCGGTATTACAGGACGAACACGTTGGACGGTGGCAGTATCGGATGAGGAAGCGGCATCCTGTTGCATAGCATGATCGTTAGTGATGTCAAGTTGCATTCCAATCTTCGATGATGAAAGGCACTTACGAGATATTGAATGCCTAAAACTGCTAAGGAATAAAGGCAGCCGTGATGCTCTAATCATCTTCATCCCGGAGGGGGAGGGGCAGCAACACTTTAGTGTACCAGCTGGGCCAGCTCAGATTCGTTGCCAGGGGGGAGGGGAGGTGAGCCGCCCAGCAACCAGTCCAACAAACTCGGCCCAGAATGACGTTTACATTATGCAAGGAGAAGTACCTCCGAAGATACCTGCTGGAGAGAAGCCCCTCGCGCCTTCCTGAACTCGCAGGCGTGTTGTGTTGTTGCCTAAGGCTCGCCCACTTACTCTCTAGCAAAACCTCCTCCCGCCCCCCTCCGGCCAAAATATCTCCCCCCTCTTCTCTTCCACAACACCTCAACCTCCTCACCACCCTTTTTAAAATCTTTATTAAAAAACACATTATTAAAACAACACCAAAACACTCAGTTCAGCCGGCCCAACGGCTGTCGTGGCTCAATATCCAGTCAAACTGAAAGAGTCATGACAGTCGTTCGGCAAGGCTGCTCTCCTGGCCGCACCACACCACCTTCACTAGACCTCTCGGATCAGGTGCGGCCGGGAGAGCAAAGAACTGCGGCCCTACGAGTTGTAGGGCCGCAGTTCGCCCCTTCATGATCGAAGGAACATGCTCTCCTGGGGAGATCAAACATCACCAGGAGAGCATGTTCCTTCAACAAAGCATCGAGTAGTGAGTGCAGTTTACCAGAGTGAGAGTTCGAGCAGCTTGACTGACACAGCAAAAGAACAGCAATGAAAGATGCCAGACCCGACATCTCAACACAATGAATACAATCTTCAACATATACTCGCACTTGTGGAGAGTTGGAGAGTTGGATCATGTTCCTGACAACGTGATTCATTTTTGTGGTAGGTGAACACTCCTTCATATTCACTAGCTCCAATATTTAAGCTGACTCTCCTCATATTTGTAGAACAAACACTTCATTACAACTCCGAAAAGAAAAGTCGTGGAGGACCTCCCCAAAAGCGGATTCACTTCCATGGTGAGTTTACACTCCTTCAATTTCAATGACGCCAGCAATTGGGCTGACACCTCGCATCTTTGCAGATCAAACCTCCATCACACCTCCGCAGCATCACTTCAAGAAGCACAATCAAAGTACCCGGTCGGTCCCCGATAGTCGGCCCCACCCACACCAACGGCTTTGAATGCCCACGAGCAGTAGCTTCAGCACGCTTGGTTCATGCCCTGACAGTAAGTACATACAACCTGGTTTTCGGAAACTGGGTAGTTCGATCATGGTTGCTAACATTGCTTGGGGGCAGAAATTGGTCTCAAAAGAATTCGAGTTGCCTATTCAAGAATTCGTCGCTCCAAAGAACAGATCCTCGCATGACCCACTTGCTTAGCCCTCCCCGTATGAGTCGCCGGCGAGTACCCCTGAGAACCGTGATCACACCTGGCGAGGAAGACAAGAAGAATCGGAGATGGATTGATGTTGACGGTAGAGGAGCGCACTTCAAAGAACACTGTGTGTTTTACTACTGGGAAAATGTGTACGTTGGATACAGGGTTCTGAGTCGGGCTTTTGGCATGGTTGGATAAGATTCATAGGGAGAATTGAAAATTCATTACCACTTTCTTATGACTCGAACCAATCTCTCGCGCGTGTAACTCGAAGGACCTTCGACAAGTGAGACAGAAAATCGACCATCCATCTCGTTATCTTGATTCGTCTGCTATGCTAGTACATAATCATCATTGGCATAACGTGAGCAAACCAATGAGCGATCAAACAAATATCGAACTTTTGCATTTCCCTTAGACAACGGGGCATGTTTTAATAAATGAGACAGCTTCTTGGCTCTGTAAGTCAAATATTTTTGGATGGCTCAGGAGAATCTCGACAAAGTGAAGCCTACCCTGTGTCCCAAACTGCCTCCCCGCCGAATCGTGAAGATCGTGTACTCGATCCGTCGAGGCCAATTTTTAAGAATATTGTGGAAATTGAATGTGGATCTACCTTTTCTTCAGCTTTCTTGCTTAATCACAGTGTGCGGGTGAGATGTATGCCGACCTGAGATGGGAGGTTGAGCACGATCTAGCGGATTTCTCTTATCCGTGGCTCGCATTGACACAATCCGCTCGATTATCCTCGTCGTTCGTAGTTGACGTGCCCGTACCTGCAGCTCATCAGCTCCACAGGCTTAGACCAATCTTGGAAGGAATTCGCGAATCCGCCAATTGGAGATCAATGATCGTTGGCATGACGTGCCTGCTTGATCCCGGCCACGCAGGTCAAGATGACAGGAGATTACAAGTGGGGATTAAAAGATATTTATAACATTAGGTTAGAAGTGCCGGTAATAGCCCTTCGGAGTCTAGCACGGCTCCTCCAGCACATGGAACCAGGGTGGTTCACAGCGAGGTTAATATGAGTGCAGGGGGATGCGTGTTCTGGCCAATCGTTCTCGGTCCCCATTGTTGCAGAGGATTTCGATGCCGGCATCTTGGCAGTTGTTTGGGCTTTTGGGGCCGTTTGCGACAGGCACCAATCCTCACCAGGTTGCCAGGAGAAAGCCGGCACTTTGGTCAGCTTCAACCCTTGTCTGGCGACAATCTCCGCTCGCTTGGCCTGCAGACGGCATTGGACGCGCAAGCCCAGATCGTTCGCAGTCCGTCCGCAGGGGTCGCGGGTCTCCAGCATCGCTAAAAGGGGTTAGCAGTTTCGAGTTTCGAGTTTCGAGTCGTCGCTGGCCCCATGTCGCGTGATCTCTAATTTTAGGGACTTTAGATCCTGACGACTTCCATGGCTCAACTGCCGGCCAGGGCCACACGAAGGATCCTACGCGAGAGTGTATTTAGGCCTCTCTCTCTCCTCTCTCTACTCCAGGCCGACCTCTTCTTTCCCATCATCAACTACTACCTTATTATCATCCATCTAGCAGCTGGTCTTCTAGCTTTTCCTTGAGTCGATCTATTCAGCGTTAGCCTTCTTTTTACCATACAGACTCCTTTCCACCATCATCTCTTTTCCTTCCAATTCATCCTTCTTCTTTTCCTTACATATTCAAAATGGTCGCCGCCAAGAACCTCAGCCTCGCCGCTCTCTTGTGGGTTGGCCTCGCCAGCCGCGGGCTCGCCCTGGAAATCGACCAGGGCACCAACGACCTCACCCTGGTCCAGAGATCCGAGGCCGAGTCTCTCGATGCCCGCGCCGTCGAAGAAGCCTCCATCCTCGACACTCGCACTATGAGCATCCAGGTCGTGCCCAACCCCCCGTCTTCCCACGCCGGCAAGCGAGAGGCCGAGGAGGTTGAAGAGCGAGATGAGGAGGAACTCGATGAGCGCGATGTCGACGAACTGGACGAGCGTGACATTGAGGAACTCGACGAGCGCGATATAGACGAACTAGAGGAGCGAGATGACGACGAGCTCGACGAGCGGGATCTCGAGGATGAGCTTGACGAGCGTGACTTTGAGGACGAGCTTGACGAGCGTGACTTAGAGGAGCTGGAGACTCGCGGAGCGAAGAGCGGTCACCGCAATGGCGCTGGTGTTCACATCAACCGTCCAGGTCCTCGCGATATCTACGAGGAGCTCGACGAGCGTGACTTTGATGAGCTTGACGAGCGTGATCTCAATGAGCTTTACGAGCGGTATTTCGAGGAGCTGGAGACTCGTGGAGCAAAGGGTGGCCACCGCAATAGCGCTGGTATTCGCATCAACCGTCCTGGCCCCCGTGATATCTACGAAGAGCTGGAGGTTCGCGGAGCAAAGGGTGGCCACCGTAATAGTGCGGGTGTTCACGTCAACCGTCCCGGCCCTCGTTCCATTGAGACCCGAGGCAAGGGTGGTCATCGCAATGGCGCTGGTGTTCACATCAACCGTCCTGGTCCTCGTTCCATCGAGACTCGGGGAAAAGGGGGTCGTCGCAATAGCGCTGGTGTCCACGTCAACCGTCCTGGTCCTCGTTCTGTCGAGGAAGAGGTCGATCTCGAGACCCGCCTAAACCGAGCTGTTCCACTGTCCAAGGCCCCCAAGACTCCCTTCAGCAAAAACAAATACTGGTCAATCAGCCGCGCTTGGAAGGACTTCACCAAGGTGCCCCAGAAGGCCTGAATGGGATCTCGAGCCAGGAAAATACCTGGTCAGCTGTCCATAGGGATTGTATATAAGAAATACTCTTGATAAGTCAAGATGGTGCGAGAAATACTGGGAGGAACAACGATCGGAGTTTATTGATGAGCCGGATTCATGATTTACGGAATCTGGTAGTATGGCTTAGCAGCTTTTTTTTTTTTTCTTTATTTTTACCACTGACTCCTTTCGAGAGATCTCGTACATATCTTCAATACATGAATGGGCCCACTGCCCTTTTCTTTTTCTGATGAATTGCCTGGTAAACTAGGTTAAACGTGTGAGTGATCTGAGCGTAGCTCTTGTGATTTGACATTACAGAGTAAACGTCTATCTTGTCAGTTTGACGAAAAAGATTCGCCAAAGTACGTCTACGAAAAGAAACCATGCATCTCATTGTTGACTTGGTGCTTTGTTTCTTAGATCAGGTGAGTTGTTTGTCATGATCACGTATCTAGCGTTGAAATGTAAAGGGGAATAAATTCTATTGATACAACAACATAGCATGAGATATATGACAAATAGCTCTAGAGGAATATCTACGGCCACAATAGTAAAACGCACCACGCCTTTCAATTCAACATCAGATACACGCTTCAAGTCCTAGGTACCCGACGGCCAGTTGTACTGATCCGTCATAAAGTCAAAAGCGCCCTGGCTTGAAAAGTTGGTGTAGTCGCCCGGGATAAGCCCATTCATGCCCCCCGACCCAGCGAGATCATACAAGTCGCTGCTGGTGAAGGTAAGCGGCTGCATCGTGCTGAATGAATCTTCTAGCTTCACTTCCGGAGTGTTCCCCAGGTTGCCCCAAGCCATGTTATCGGTAGGGGGGTTGTCCTTGGCCTCCATTTCCCATATCTGCTGGACGATCCGTGGAGTTTTCAGCGGTTGGTCCGATTTCCATTCGGCTACGCGGGCATCCCAGGACCGTAGGATGAACTTTCCAAATACCTTGGTTATGGGGCCCTTCATCCTGGACATGGTGTGGATTCTGAAGTCGTAGTTGTTCGCCATGACCTCCCAAGCGCGGTCAGCGTGCCGGCTGAACGGACGGCGTCTGAGATCATAGATGATATGCATGTATCCAGGAAAAGGGAAGTGTGATCTTATGAACCAGATGAAAGGCTTGGTTTTGGGCGTAGACAAGAGCTTGGTATCACAATCCAGCATTTCAAAGGCAAGAACCATGGCATCGTCCATTTCGGTTTCTGTTGCCGGGAGGCCGGAATGAGCGAGGGTCGCGTAGTATTGTATCATGCGCTGTTTGGCGATGAAGGCATGTGTTGTCCAGATCGTCAGGTAGTGGATGGGGTTCTCTGGGTCACAGTACTGGAGATAATCATTCTCTATTCGCTTGCGCAAAGAGAGGAGAGATCCGCCATCTGGCAATTCCTTTGCAATAGGTTTGAGCCTGGGGTGGTGGAAATCCAGGAACGCGGACGTGTGACGGAGAAAGTCGGCCAGCTCACTCCGGACAACCACGAAAATGGACTCGGATACCTTGGCGCCGCCGGCTATGATTTCCTTCATATCAGGCCGCAGATCGGAATCGTTCACGTTGGAAGGGGTCTTGCGCGACCATGCCGGAGATAATGAAGCATCATCGCTGACATCGGCTACTTCACAGCGGCGAGTATCATCAAGCACCAGCGACCACCAAAGTCGTCGTTGCATCTCGGACTCGAAAACTGAACATCTCTCCAGCGGCGGTTCTCTGTGGAGCTTGAGAACTTTTGCAATTCGTATGGCGATTGAGAACATTGCGCTGAGTGAACGCGGATGCATCTCGGGGCGGAGAGATAGCTGCGGTGCCTGTTAGAGATCGCAACGTAAGACAAGATAGGGGTTGACCAACGAGAAAAAGATACAGAGAGATCAGGGTATCTCTTTCCCTAGAAACTAGAAACCGCGCATTCATCAGAGCCTGTTGGCATCCAAATTGATATTTGGTTAGCAAATCTGTCTGTGACATCCCAAGCATGGACTGGCATTCGTCGTTGCTTAGACTAGTGATGGCTATGCAATAGATTGAGAACATGAGTGACTCCATTGGAGGACTGATACCATGAACGTTGCCAACGGCCTCTATAATGCGCCCTTGCATGGTGGGCACATGGATGACTTTGAGGAGGGGGTTGACATTGTCGAGGTAAATTTGCCACAGCCTGAATATCTCGACAGGCTGGGGGTGGAATGTAGAGAGGTCTACAGATGCTTGGGGAGATCCAAATAGAAAAAGATCGTAGTCGCTGCCTCGTTCCATTTCCAATGCATCCTTCACAGTGCGTTCGAGGCTGTCGGCACCCTCTACTTGACCTCCAGAGGTTGATGCTTGTCCCTGGCAATCTGTTAGTGCTAGATATCAGTCTGCTGGTCGGTGGCCGTTACCTCCTGGCAAATAGCTAGCCAGATGCTCCTGGTCCTTGTTAGTGCCATTCGCGACCAATCAGTTAAACGGGAGAGCTGTAACCACGGACTTGGTATCAAACACATCCAAAGGCTTCGAGGACGGTGTTGGCGACGCTGCCGACTGCGAGTGCGATTGCTCGTCATCCGAACTATCAGAATCAGCACCGGCATCGTTCCCTTTCCCCGCAGTGCTCGGGGTCTGGTGGAGAGGATTGAAGCGGATGTTGTTGGCGCGCAGGAGGTCCTCGTACTGCGCGAGCCGCCTCAGGAGATCCTTCTCAGGGAACCGCCGTCGCCTGCGGGCCTGTGTGGCGGGAACGCATTGCAAGCCCTGCTTGAGACAGTGAGCGCAGGGAAACTTGCGGTCGCATTTGATCTTGCGCTGCTGACACAAGACGCAAGCCAAGACGCGCGTGGGTTTCGGTGCCTGAGGAGACGGTAGGGGGTTTGGGATGGCGGGAGAATCATTCTCCGACGGGGAGAGTAGGCTCGACATGGCGAGGACGGTTGATATGGCTCGCGGCCGTCGACCTTGGCGGAGGGTTAATTGATGCAACCGTTGGCAATGTTGGGTAAGAGTTGAGGTTGAGCGCTTACGATAGCCTGCTGACTAATAATGCAATTATTAGTTGAGGCCACCTTGTTTGAAGGGCCCCACATTCAACCATTCCGCCAATTGCGGCTCACCAATGATCATTTGGCAGGTGGTGACGTATCTATCTTGAACAGGGTACGTTATCCTCTTAAGACCGACGTTCGAGATACACTCAGTTCGAAACACAACCGATCTTTTTCTCCTTCTAAAACTTGATCAAGAATATGTATGGCGTACTATGTTGTTGCATGAAAACTCTACCAGAGCAACAGTTCCAACGGCGAACTGAGCCGTCAGCAGCACGAAGCATTGGGAAACAGGAATAAGTGACACCGAGCGCTTAGGAATTCACTTGTGCTTTGGATCCTTGTTATTTCGATTGCGTAACTCCAATTCAAATGAATATTATTTTCAAAGAGATATCTTGAATGTACTTGTTTCTCAGGTGAAAGGCAAGCATTTCGGCCGGGGTTCACTTTACCTGAGTATTCACCAGCCTTGTATCTTGAGTGCATGTGAGCAAGGCGCCGTCTTGCAAAGTTACAAACTTTGAGCGAGATCGCGTCCAGACTGCTTGGTCGTGAAGTCACGTTGCATTCGTTGTTTTCATAACTGCAGCGTATTGTTTTCATCGCATAGGTTCGTGATTCAGTGTGTAACGTAACCTGACACGCTCCCCCAAAACTCACGTGGGACCTACAACTCACAACCTGCACTCAATTTTTCATTTGTTTTTCTCCTCCAACATCAGCCAACCCGCCACGCTCCTCTCTCCATCGTTGCCCGACATCTTCAACAACCATGGTCGACCACAACCTCTATGCCTCGTATAAGAGGGACCAGAGATATCTCGTGTGCTGGTTAGTCCACACATCTAATCGCATCATCGTATCGCAACAAGATGAGTCCCTCACCGTCAACAAGTCTGGCCAAACCACGGTTTCCGGCTTGGTGGCCATGTCATCCCTCATCGCCAAGCATGAAACCACCACCCCCCCCCATCATCCTCCGGCTGCTCGAATCCATTATTGCCCATCGTACGCAGGCCCACATGATCTTCGAAAAGATGGCCGGCTCGGACCCAGACCCTGAGTTGGAAAGAAGCAACACCTCCCACAAACATTTCATCGATGTGCTCAAGCAGACCTTTGAGATTATGGGAGGGCTCGCCTGGCAATCAGGAAAAGAAGCAGGTCAGTGCGCGGACGACGAAGAAACTATTGAGGACATCATCTTTTCCAACAAATTCTCCGCCCTCGACATCGGTGGTATCGCTGATGCCAGTTCTGAAGAAGAGACTGAGCTTCCGAAGGCATATGCGGCGAGACGGCGCCAGACAAACAAGTCTGGTAAAGGAAAGAAGGGCAAAGGAAAGGGGAAGAAGAGCAAAAGCAGCAACAAGCAGCACCAGGCGTCATCTTCCTCACAGGTCGCTCTGGAGGATCTCCCCTTGGAAAGCTACAAGATCGTGGAAGACTTCAACTCCGGCAATGGTGAGGACGGGACCGGCCTTCTGACCGACTACCTTATGGACGTCTACCTCATCTTCAGAAACATTCTAGTCCTTCGATCATCGATCCAAGACAAGTGGAGTGAGGTAGCCTACGATGATCTCAACAGTGCCGTCGCCGGCGCTATGTCCAACGTAGCCATTGCCACAATCAAGAAGATGCAGTCTTCAATCTTCGTTGAGTATCCCGGAAATGATTCATTCGACGCAATCCTAAACGCCATGACAAGAGGAAGTCCCGAGAAGATGAGAGACAACTTCGAAATTGGTTTGTGGGCAAGCGGCCCTGGTGGGCAGGCACCTCACCCAGTGCATGATACGTACCTGGATATCGAGGAGCAGTTCCTCATGTACTCTTACAAAGACCTCTGCGACTTCATTACCGACTTCCAGCTGAACCGCACCGGAAAACCGACGAAAAGAATGCAGGCCGAGATCAAGAATTGGAACCCCAAACTCAGCCCCGCAACTGCCACCAAGGAGGAACGAATCCAATGGCGCCGTGCTTACACTATCAACTGGCTCTACGACCTGGCCAACGTCTTCTCCTCTGTTGTTGTTCAGCGAAACACCTTGAAAAGAGAAAGTCATGATCTCTCCCAGGTCGACTGGTCATCCTCCGGCCCGTGGCACGCACACCGTCGACTCTTCGGCCTGAACGAATTCGCCGCTTTCGTCAGCTCGCTCGCATGGCAGAAGCCAGGCACCGCGATAAAGAGCAAGGTCCTCCCACACCATGTGTTTCAGCTCCAGTGTATCGTGGATTCCTGGACCGTATCGCGCGGATGGTCGCTGAGTTTTCTTCACGGTCATGTGCTGCGACCTCCGAGCCATAACTTTGTTCCCCGGCGAGACCTGGACCCAGTCCTGAATCGCGGCCAAGAAGCCCTTACCGGGTCTTTGCAGGCTGAATCGGTCCTGCAGCAGATGCTCGAGCGCGATGGCATCAGAAGGCGTAACCCCGAGTTGCATGGCGCAAGATGTGCGATTCTTAAGCAGATCAGAGACGAGTTCAACGGCTGTCTGGGCCGAACCATTCTCGCCGCCGGTCTGGACACGATTCCCACCTCGCGATTCGCAGATACCAATGCGAACGGCCTGTATGACTACTCGCCCTTCCAGTGCGGCGTCGGATCGCTGGAAGCACTTGAATTGAGTTACCTGGTCAGCACCTACATATGGGATCAGGTTCCCGAGGCCACCATGCTCATTCACCTACACAACATGGTGGTGAAGAAGGGGCACCTGAAGACACCGGTGGAGCTTTGGCTTGCACTTGAAAAAATCTTTGCCGAGGCACTCTTTCCAACGGGCAAAGCACCAACTTCCAAGTTTGCCCAAACCTTCTCATCTCACGCCAAGAACGTTCAGTCCAAGAGCTCCACCGCGCGAGCGATGAAGCTCAAGTCGTCAAAGAACGCCAACCGCATCCTCGGCCTGCTGGACCCAAAATCAAACATTTTGTTCAAGTCAAAACCGTATGTGCATCTCCTCCACCAAGGAGAGTGGGATCCGGATCGAGTATCGGACGAGGAGATCCCGCTTGAGACTTTCACCTGCATGCTGCGCCTCAGCCGGCTCAAGATGAAGAAGGATGGCCTGACCGGGCGTCTGGAATTGGCCGATCCGGACTCACCCCTCGCTCGGCGTGCCAAGGCTCGCGGATGCACGGCGGAGCAGATCGCTCAGCTCTCGTCTCTCAACCCGTGGCAGGGCGATGCCGCCACTGAGCACGAGTCGTTCAACAGGAACATGATGGACAAGATCCGAAGAGCCGACCCGGAGCGATTCAAAGGGGTTGTCACCGGAGACCAGGACATGCGGAAGAAGCATTCGCCTGGAGGATCGATGAACCCAGAGGAGATGATGCAGCTCTGCGGATGGGACGTGTACAACAGCGTGTGCGGCGACCAACCCGTTTTGGGACTCAGCTTCGTCTGGGTGACGGCTTCCGTCTATGTGTGGTTCGAGATGCTAGAGGAGGAACTCAAGAGACTGCGCAACCCGGTCTACGTGAACGCATACGAGGACCCGAACTTCCGAGGCGACCAACGCAACCGGCTAGTCATGGCTGCTTTGGAGGGCCAGGACGAGGAGTGTATGAAGGCGATTGCCAAGCTCTTTGAGAAGAGCCGCTGCGGGTTCGTCGAGAACATGTACTGGAACAAGATCGAGACTTCGGAGAAGAGAACAGAGAGACTGAACAGGGCTCGGAAAGCGGAAGAACCGGACTGCGTCATAATGTAATAGGGGTCGGGTTCACAAAGGCACGGATTGACATGTGGCTCGAAAGGTATTTCCTGTTTTTGAATCGAACTAGACTTCCTATTGTTTCTTCGAAAGGAAGGAATTTTTAGCGGTAGAGTAAGGCTTCTGAAGATCTATAGTTGAAAATCAAACTCTAAATTGACAACCAGAGTGTCACCACAAGAGCGCGAAGCTCTTGGTGCCAAAACGGATCAAGCATCCTCGTTCCCTGACGTAGACCCACATAATGAGCTGCAAGTACAAATCGCATTCCCTTGAAACAAATGAACCGGGATGACCTGGGACGATGCATAATAAGGTAGATCTCGTCAGTGGCGCCGAGAGATCACTGAAGTGTGCGTACTTTGGTATAGCAGGCAGAAGGTTCCGAAACGTCGGCCCTCAAGAAATTTACATCCGCAAGCCCGATATCTCTTTTCTCTAACTCACGGAATCGTGCGGGGAGCTTAGCCATTCGGTCTGTTGCTGTTACGCTGGTGTTCGTGGCCGTCGATGCCGTCAGCACTATCCTCGTCAGACATGCCCGCATGCTGCATCTTCCCAGTCACGTATCGGCGCTAGAGATCGCCCGCGACGAGCTGCTCGTATGCTGGGTAGGTAGGTAATGATGTAACTCTGTCATAGCGGACGTAACGTGCTTATGCAGCAGGGGTTTGGGGGCATTTGTCGTGCTTGGAGTTGATGGAGGAATGAGGCACGGGATTGATCTGAATTCCGGACCACTGTGCGACCCATTTGATTGCCGATGACCGCTGGGAAGGCGGAGACACTAAATGTCGGCCTGCAGTTGGGATGGTGTGCTGGGCCGGGTAGGTGGAGCCTGCACTGTAACCCAAATTCGTCCTGCAGTTGGCGGCGCTGCGCCTCGTGTTGTCGTGGCTGCAGTTGGGGAGTTTCCGTCCGTCGGTACATTTGTAAGGTAAGCATTTGGCTGCAGCCCCTCAGATATCCCGATATGGAAGGATGGCTCGGTGCGGTGGGCTGACAGGGTGAGGTGAAGGGGCCACTCCACTCACCAGAGATTTGCCCCGCCACATGTCCAAGCGACCCGCCACCTGCAACCAACATTATACTCAAGATGGCCAGGGGCATCTTGGTCAATCATCTTATCAAGCAAAATACCACGATTAAGTCGTAAATGTCATATGGGATACACAGAAAACGTCAAGGATTTGACCCTAAGTATATCGCCCCAAGAACGCCCACGAACTGACAGATGCTATCTTCAGACAACCCTATCTCTCTTCTTCGGTCCAGCTACCACATGTTGCAACGGTTCCTTCCTGCTCCGCCCGATTTACGAATAGACTGTCAATTATCTGAAGAACTTCCGTCGACTTGCTTATTGTAGCCGTCCCTGTGCCGACTGCAAGCGCGGCAATGGCATGGAATGGGTCCTCGGCCGCGTCTTGGACGAGCCACGCATTGAGCATCTCGCTGCCACTATTCTGATCCGCTACCATAGTATTACCGGTACCAGGCACACCAGGTTGTCGAGGAGTGGGTTGAAGACCCCATGGGCGCCGTACCTCTACCATGGCGGAGGGGACAGGTAGTTGGTCTTGAGCCAGGCTGTCTACGCTGGATCCTGATGTGGTGACTGATTCTGGTTTTGTCCGACTTGGGCTAGCAGCACCAGATGTAGCCGCTGCGCTTGAATGTTTGGGCATGACTGCGCAAGCTAGAAGTAGATCTAGTCTTGGGTTTGTTTGGCCCTCTATGGAATACTACCGATTAGTAAATATGAGGTACTTGCGCCTGGCGCCAGACAATAGCGGACGCATGAATACCCACATGGCTTATGTAGTAGTGAAAGAGTAGGTGTGATTTGGCGAGGTACTGATTATGGCATGAAGAGAAGATGCTATTGGGAATGGCTGATCAGACATTCGCGATCAAGCCTGGGTTAGGCTACGCTTTATATAGGTAGGTATTTGGCGCACGTCAAAGTATTTTGGAGGCTTCCGACCTCGAAGCGGTCCCCCAGATCCCACCATGTCCACCCACGATGGGTAGCAACCTGGGACGTGGATGAGGCATGGGACACGGGTGGAGCCCCCCAGGTTGGCAAGCAACACACCAAACCGGTACTTCAAGCGTCCATATTTGGAGAGGCTCTGTGTTGTATTCACTACAACTTGATTCTAAAAATCCTTAAAAAAGATCAAAAAAGGACTTTAATATTATTTAGAAGCTAATAAAAGGATTAATGTACTTTTTTAGGGGTTATTATATCTTTATTGCAGTATTTGATGGCTACAAAGAAGGCATAATAATTTGGTATCTCATCTCTCATGTCACCCCCCGGCTCTGGTTTCGTGCGGGCCCATATCCCACTCTATCTTACCCAACGTGTACTCTGATTGGATCTGCACTCTGATGGCTGCGCACTCTGATTGGATGTGATTGCCAGCCCGCTCCATGCGTTGAGCCAGACACACCACCTCCGACTGCGGTGGGCTCTGTAGCGAAAATAGGAGTGAGGTGGCCAGGGGTCCATGTCAAGCACACTTGTAGGTACTTTCCACTGCTTTGTTGCCGCCCATAGGGGAGAACTGCTTGGATGACATAAGACATTGCACATTAAACGGTACTTTGATCTCCCATTTCGCCCAACCCTTCACCTTTATAACTTAATAGGCGGGCAATTGATATATACTCTACTCGTGCCAGGGGTGCCGATATAATATTTAGACCTCTATGAATTATTTATATAGTTTTAATCTACTATTTTGACAGAGTTTGGCTGTTGAATTGAGAATCGAAAACACCCTGTGATTTGCGTGAGTAGTGTCGAATGTCACCCGGTTGGCAACCAGAGCCGGGGGCAGGGAGCCGTCTCTAGGTGTGGTTGGCTGGGATCATGAGCGCGCTTTGCTCCATGCATGCACGAGGTCCCCTCCATCTCTGACGACCGCGCTGCAGAAAATCGGAGGACAAGGGGTAAGGACGGGCCAGGTTGCCCAGGTGCTTACAGCGGGCTCGAACCACCTCCCAGCGTTATGGTGTTGGCCTGCCTGCCCCCTTGCCAGAGTCTTACACACGTGACACAACTCATTCCCATGTCCCCTAAAGTGCCCCACCCAGTTGCTGAATTATGTCGACATACATATCTGCCGCCCAAAGGCCCGCAAGGCGTCCTCTTAATTTCATGCCTTGCGACTCCGATAGAGTTGCGACTCTGATACGCTGTAATAAACTGACACCACGCACGCACGCACACACACACCCACCGCACGCCTGCAGCTTACATAATGCAAAGGAACCATGTCCTTTTGTCGAGACGTCATGGGCGGGCCAAACTTTGACGCTGCCTGAATCGGAGATCCAGACAGGACCCGAATCCCGGAGGTTGGCGATGTCACCATTCTGCGAGAATTTTTGCGGAATTGCACCTTTGCAACCGGGTAGCATGGCAGAATAGAGAAATACCCACGTTTTGCATTGTATCCGTCTGCCTATGTGATTACTTGGGTGACGTCACTCCACAAGGCAAGGTCAAAATATCTCTTCGCAAGTACATCGAGCTTCATACCTCGTCCCTGCGAAATTTTATGGTTAGGTATATTCAAAACTCCAGGCTGGGTCATGTCAGTTCTATTATCATGCTGATTTGTGCTAGTATTCTTACGATCTGAAGGTTCCGCACGATGTGAGAAGCATGCACTCTGGCAGTCAGCTCTGAGTCGTCATCAACATCATCCACCAGTATTCAACTTTCTATCCAGCCAACAGGATGTGAAGTGACAGTATGTTCAAAGTTCAAATCCTTTCACAAGCCGGACTTAGGTCGCAAGTACTAGAATCATGTACCAGGAACCCAAATCCCGCATTGATGCTCCCAACCGGCCCTTGTCTTGGGAGAAAGTATTCACGACATATGGCTTTAGAATAGCAGAATAGACAAGTGTGATCAAGGGGCCCAGAGATAAATTCAACTAGCTATCCCAAGTATCTTAACTTCATCTTGCTCTTACTTAGTACATCATGCTCGTGGAATGCGAAAGACGGGATACTCCATGCCGGTCTCAAGGGGAATAATGCTAAACGTGACAAAGCTATCAATGTTTTCCGGTTCCAACGCAATAAAAGCCAGTGCTGCATTCTGCTGCCTCGTGCTCACGTAGAAACTGCCAGCAGGTAGGACAATCTCCCGGCTCGTCGAGTTCGTCGTCACCGTGTTGAGGAATTGGCCTTCGTAGAGTTCAGTGTCCACGCTTGACGATGTGGCAACAAGGGTCTCGACGGTTCCTGTAAACTGCTCCTTTATCGTCTCGACCTCGAGGCCGAGGATCCTGAGCCTCTCTGCGATGTCGAACCATGTCCTTGGGATGATGTACGCTTCAGGCCTGGGCCGCGTGAGGTTGGCGACGGAGGGCGTCGTGCTAATGAACTTGATGGGTGCTTGGACTACGCTACCGTTCGTTCGGTCAATCATGGTGAATGTCCTATTCTCGGAGACGTATGAGTCGGTGACAACAATGTCATCGTCGCTGTTGATAAATTTTTCCCTCGCCTTTTCCACGGTAGACAAGACGCTGTCATAGTTGTCCCTCGCTAGCTCCAGGATGGCGGTGATTTTGGTCAACGCGGTAGCTACACGGCGCTGGAAATGCTGGTTGGCGATCCTGATCCCCCGCATTTCGCAGAGAAAGGAGATGGTCTGAGTAAGCCCCACTGCATTGCGACCAGTTCGCGCCTCCGTGACTGCTTCCTGCAGTGTGATGGGGGATCCTATCGTAGTGTTGGAGGATCCAGTCACGTAGGGCTCCCATCGGATCTCGTATGCTTCCAAGGCGTTCCCGATGTGTGGGATGAAGACATCCAAAACTTGCTTGCGAATCTCGGGGTGGATGTTTGGGTTGATGCCTCCCGAGAGCAGGGCATCAGCGCCATGCTGGTAGCTTCCGCCGAATATGGTTGTCGCCGTAAACTCATCTATTCCATGCATGTTAGTTACGCACCGGATGGTAGTGTGGAAGACTTACGCATGTCAATAGCAATATGTGGGTTCCATTCGCTCACAATCTGTTTGATCTTTCTCGTCTGCTCCCGCATGAGCTTGATATGGTCCCTGTTGGGGTCCAGATTGCATGCTAGCTGGCGTTGGAAATATGAAACCCCATCGACGTTGTAGCGAGCAAGAATCTTGATATCTATATGCTCGAGTATGGACTCGGCCCAAGCTTTGTCTGCATCCAGCTTTCCTAGGAATGCTAGGATCGATTGGTCGGCTGCAGGCTCGTTTCCATGGATTGCCCCTTGCAAATATACTCGGAGTTTCGTGCTGTTAGACCCCGATGATAGGTGAACATACGGGAGCGTTCGTCCCTCCTCCGACTTGAAGTCAGAAGGTTGATAATCCATCCAAGGATTGCGGTCAGCCAGTGTGCGGATGAAAGAGTCTGTTCTGTTAGCCGGTGTGATTGCAACTCGCAAGCTTCTCGAATTAACTTACCCAACACAGCATCGTCCGTGGGCCCATCTTTCCCTTCAGAGAAAGCTTCAGGGACCGTCTCTGGGTTGAGGAACGCAGGAGAGAGGAGGGTGATGTTCACGTCGAGAAAGTTCTTCGCAACCAACTCAGAATCCTTTGTGGTTGGAACCCAATTTTCGCCATACTGCAGACCCCTTTGGATGCCGCCGGATTGTGCTGTCGCGGTAGAGACTAGGACTGCGAGAGCACCGTAGCACTGGAAGCCGCGAGCAAAGACCTCGCGCATGGTGACTCGGTTGGGACGTGTGTGGAAGATGTATTCCGATATCGATGTTCAACCTTGGGGACACTCCGAGCTGGTCGCGGGGACTAGGCCGAGCTTTATACCCCGATCCTACCGCTCTCCACCATGCCGCGCAGTGCTATCATATCGTCCTTCGTCATGCGGGGTTTCATGAGAATGCATCATCTGGCTGCCTCCTGTATGGTCTCTTAGGCTAATTGATCAAATTATGGAGATGGAGGGGGCTTACCCATCATGACGATCCCACCAAAGCAAATCCCCCATTGGCAGAAAGTGGTCGGAGTTTTGTCCGATGGCCGGGGTTGCCAATGATGCCCCTCATCCTCCCTAGGAAAAGGCCATCATCACCTTCCTTTTCAGCGTGTTATCTGCCCATACCCCTGGTATACGTCATTTACCGAGTGACTGTCGTGCGCTGTCGAGATTCGTCGTCCAGATAAGCTTACAAGCGTATAGAGTGGGTTTTATTCCCGGCACGAAAATCAGGTCGGGCAAAAACGGCCGTTGCTATCGTTTTCCGGCATTTCCTGCGCTCGGCTTGGCCTAGGTTTTCGATCGACGTTCCGTGTATCCTGTGGAAAGCTACATGTTTGCTGATTCGTGTGCCCTTGGTAATCAGAAGATAGATTAGTCTCCAAATATGAGATCTTAGTCTAGAAGCCTTGGACGGGAGCTGGCCTTTGAGCATCACTGGGGCGGTTTTGGAACCGCATTCATTAAGAGCAGATATCGGAAATCATGTGTCGGGCTTGTTTTGGTTTGTTGGTGGAGGTAAAATCATAGAGTGTTGCAGCGCGTTGTATAATGTGGTCGTGATGATGCACAATTAACTCGTGGGGTGTCCGTAATGTGGAGGTTGCCCATCAGAACTCTAGGGTAGACAATTTCATGCTAAGAAAAGAGCAGGAGCGGCCTATGCTAGAATGACATCATCAGTCCTATAGCCGAGGAATTGTCTTTCTTCTATTCCCATCTCTGAAACAAAGCTGGTTTGTTTATTATCTCGTCTCATTTTCAAATAACCCATTAGAATTATATGCGAGCTTTCATTGACCACTATGCTCAAAGCTCATGGGCTATAATCCCAACCTAGTTTAAAAAGGCGCTCTTCTCGGGATGGCCTCGGTTTCTGATTCGCCCCTGATAACCTTACCCCTTTTTTCCATCACAAATATCTGTCAAGATTCCGCGTCTTGTAAGTCTCCCAAAATATCAGAATTGTGAACTCTCCATCGAGATGAGTCATCCGGCTCGACTGACTCCTCCATGTTGATGACAGACGCAAAATGAGTCTGAATCGCTCTGGCTCGACCGGTGCAAGTTACAATCAACTTGAATATCACGTTGGTTCGCTTTGAAACCTGCCTCGCCATTCTTCTCATAATCGTATCGACATCTTCCCGAAAATCGACCTTCTCGTACATGTCGATCCCATCAATAAGACAGATCAAAATCGTACCCTCGGGTATCTGTTTCGCGAGTTCCGAGAATATGAGACATAGGGTTTTCAGATTCAGCCCATAAATATCCTCCGCCTCGAGGTCGTCAGAAAAGGACAGGTCGATGTTGAAAGATTTTGCTTCCATTTTGGTGAGAAGTTGGGCAGTCAGGCTGGCCATCATTGCCGCGGGCGCAGGTGGGCCAGGAGGGCCGCCGTATGGACGATGCTCCATGCAGAAAAAGGAGAGACATAGGGCTTGAGGCGTGCTCTCGGAAGCAACCACTATTCTTGCAGACACCAGGCTGACAGGAGATGCTCCCTCAGTGGTAGACATGTCTTCATTTCCGTTGATGAGTAACGCTCCCTGGTTGGAATTGCTGATGATGAAATCCTTGAGCGCCGCGCTTTCAATAAGCTTCGCTGCCTTGGCTTGGAAGGCTTCGTCCGAGGCATAACCATTGCGTAGGCATGTCTGAATGTCCCTGGATACAGCATCATCATCAAATTGAAGTGCTGTTAAAACGCTGTCTAACTGCTTTTTGTTATTCGAGGCAGGGGCTTCTTGAAATCCATCGTCAGTCCCGGAACTTCCTGAACAGCTATATATTTCGTGCATCCTCGTACCTGAGAGATTTCTTCCTGGCGATATCATGTTGTCACCTAACGATGTATTATCACTATCAGTGCCTATCGGTGGAATGGTTCTTGCGTTCATGCTCACCTTGATCAAATGAAGAGCGTGGCTCTTGCAGGATAAGCTGGTTGTATAATGCCTGAAGAAGTTGCAACGACTTGGTGGCATTCTGGTCCGTGTTGACGATGGACTTTTGCATGTCCGCTACACGTCTCTGCATGCAGTGCTCAGACTCTTCCTTGACCCGCGAGACCTGGACCCTGATGTTGTCTATGCTCGAAAAGAGTTCCTTCTGGTATGAATGTTGCTTAAATAGAGATCCAGCAAATTTATCTGGGAAAGTTGTGTTAAAACAAATCATGAGCCGGCAGCACATGTACGGGGGCTATGATCAACTAACTGACAGATCGCTCAGCAAAGAATCTCATAATGTGATTCAGTGCCTTCAGAATCGACAGGTAAAGATCAAACGTCCTTTCTTCAAGTCGGTGGTCTTTCGTTTCCGCATAGAGCTTGATGTATCGCCTAGTGTCGCTGACCGCCTCTGGTATCTGGGCAAGTGCGTCGATGATCGCGTCTTCTACCTTCACGTATTGACCAGCAGCCTACTTGTCTATTAGTTTATGGTTTGTTTGTCATCTCACGGAGAGCAAAGAGTGTACATTGAGAGCTATCGTGAAAACGCCGCATATGCTATAGCTCTTGTCAGTCAAATTTACATGAGCAGACACATCATCTGAGGAATTAACCTGGATCCGAAATCCCCCACGGGTAGCAACCCGATCCATGCTTGGAAGGCCTCGGAATTCCTCCCCAAGCGATCTAAATGGAGCATCTTCGAGGCTCTTTTCGGCGACGATGACCACCGAGAGGCCAGGATCTCTACTTCTTGCAGGACTTGATCCCAGGAGCACGTTCCCGCGTCTAGCCTGGATATATGTGACGTAACGGGATTGCTCTTATCCAGCTTGGCACGAACTTGATCCATGAGAGCTAACAAGGCTGTCTTTTCCGCATTCGCCTCCTTCCACAGTTCGTCACTGATTTCGGTAAGAAACTCACACCAATCGGTAGCAACGGAAGATACCTGTGAATAAGAATAGGGCCCCCTTACCTTATTTTTTGCTGTGTTTTCGCTACTTCGAGCGAGTCGACGCGGTTCAATCTACTAATAAAAACAGGCGCCGGTTCGCCCGCTACTCGAACTTGGTTTTCTATGAAGGCGGCCGTATGGGTGGAAGGATGCTCCATCCTACTGGCCAAATAGTCGTCTCTATCGGCCTCGGTCATCATGGAATGAATTCTATTTTTTCGAAAACGATACTACCAAGCATTTAAAAGTGAGTGTTTGAACACTTGGTTTCGCTCTGGAATGGTCAATGGTTCGCGCCCTACGCACCGAGGAAGGGTTGCCTCTTTGAGGGGTTAATAGTTGTGCCTCTGCGCCTTGCACTTTGCCTCGTTCAGCGCTTACATCTAACAGGTGATGTGCATACGCCAAGGCACACATGGCGGCAATCCATTCGTTGGCTTCGCAAATGAAACCCATGGATGCAACATCGAGGCAGTCAGCTTGATTATGTGTGTTCTCTTCATGCCCCACAGGTACATATATTGCTGAGCCCGTTTTCAACGGCCTTGTGATGAACGGGAAATTACAAGCTTCCTGGTAGCGCATCCCCTACCATTCCAATTCTTTCTCAGACCGGCCGGGGTTTTGAACGGTCTCCATCATGGAAGGAAGTGCATCTTCGGGTGGCCCTTCGTTACCGAAAGAGGCGATGGCATCGACAAGCCGTACGACCGCGCCGACTATGAATCCAACCGCTGTGGGCGACCGGGCAAACAGTAAACATTTAGATGCAGACGCCGATACGGCTAGCAAGCACGGTGAAAGTATGAGCGATAAAGATGAGCCGGAATCATTCTACCAGGCCGCGCAGCTTGCCAGTAACCTCCTTTGGATGACGGCAGACTGGGAAAAGGAGCTCGGGAAGGAAAAGCTCCGGGGCAAAATGAGGCTGCGCTCAAGGCAGGCCATGATCCATGTAGCATCCACCGAACATCGACTTTTGGAGGTCGAGACCAAGCTCGGGGAGCTTCAGGAGAAGCTGGAGAAGGGCCGCAACGACTTCAAGGTCCAAGGGAGGGAAGACTGCCCGGTATTCATGCCGGCTCTGAGATGGACGCCAATAGATGAGTTCCGCAATCCCGACCAGAAGAAAAATTTGCCTCCAGGCCAACTGCCCGCCATTGAGATACTGTATTCCCAAGGGTCTACATTGCTTCACTTTCAAGATCATGGTCGGCATGATTCCACGGGCGACCAACTCAAAAACCAAGAAGCTACGGCCAAGATTCCAGAAAGGCTGCGGATTCGGTCCTGGTCACTGCTGGACCATTTGGAGAAGGTCTGTGGAGAAGTTTTTAGTCTGGGTCATGTCACATCAACGGAGTCGGGACCCTCGTTGGCTCTCCTGCGTCCATTCAAGGTGTTGTTTTTATTCGAGCAGGCTATCCGAGACAGCGTCTCGAAAGTGGAATCTGAAGTGGAAGACACGACGACGACAGGGAATGCAAAAGGAACACTGACCGGCGCAGGGCGCCCTTTGGCGTTTGAGTGGAAAGACCTCCTTGCGGACTTGAAGCTGCTTATCGAAGTCATGGACACGGCACTGCAGCCAACATACAAATTGCGCCAATCCATTGCCGATGCCACACTAGAAGACATTGCCTATCCGGACCTATGGCACTTATTCCGGATAGGCGACATTGTCACTAGGAGAGATGCTAACCATCAAGCATTCAAAGTGTTGGGTATAGCGGGTGGCCGAGAGCCGCTCGCAACGAAGATGAGTCTCGAAGAGCAACAGTCGCCCCCGATCTACGGCGTTGCAATAGACTGCATGAGTGTTAGTTATGACGGGTCCTTCTATGTGCCGCGGCTACACAAATTCAATATCAGCAAATTCACCGGCCTCAAGAAGATACCTACTCTGGAAGTATACCCAATACGCTTTGATCCCGATGCCGGCACAATCAGGGACCAATTGGCGTCGAACGGGGCGAGGTACTTAGATCTCACGCGCCGCCCGTACTCCCATGTTACGTTTCGTGGCCGCACAGTCGACGACACGCCAGAGGAAATCGAGGGGCAGGTTGTCATTGACGTTGCCATGGCCCTCAGGGCTGAACCGGATTGGCGGCCACCTCCTGTCGTGAAAGAAGAGCACTTGACCAAGCCGGACCTGAGAGAGACGTTTTTGGTCCAAGCGTGTGGACACGGCTTAGATGTGGAAGGTTGTTGTGGCGGCGACGTCGCGTTCAAAGATCAGAATATGAATATCGACCAGCGCAACCCGAAACTGAAGGCCTTCACGGAGTTTATGAGGCCGCGGACGGAGGGAGAGCTTGGCGATGACCTGATCCTTCTTCCAAGCTCGATATACGGCTTTGTGCTGAGGCTTCGGAAGTGGGTGACAGTGCAGACCAGGGACTTGTCAGATGTGGCCTTTGACAACGACTTCAATAATCTGATGATGAACGAGAAGCAGAAGCAGGCCATCTTGGCCTTGGTGGAAACCCATGAGAAGGCGAGGCTCTCGCCAGGTGCTAAGAAACACTCGATCGGGGCCTCTCTCGATCTCGTAACAGGTAAGGGCACGGGCTTGATCCTACTCTTACACGGTGAACCAGGTACGTAACTGTGAACACGAATCGCTTCCATCAGGCCACTGACCGAGCGTTATCAGGCGTGGGCAAGACTTCGACGGCAGAGTGTGTCGCCGACCGAACCAAACGCCCTTTGTTTCCCATCACTTGCGGCGATATCGGGGAGGCGGCCATGGAAGTCGAACGCAACCTACAGCACAATTTTCGCCTGGCTCACAGGTGGGGTTGCGTGCTCCTCCTTGATGAAAGTGATATCTTTTTGGCGAAGAGGAACAAGACGGACCTGAGGCGGAATGCTGTCACGAGCGTTTTCCTGAGGAGTCTAGATTATTATGCTGGTATTTTGTTCTTGACCACGAACAGAGTCGGCGGAATCGATCCAGCATTCAAGTCCCGGATCCATCTAAGTGTGTTCTACCCACGGCTCGATCTCGATAGAACACAGAAGCTCTTCGATGTGTTCCTCCGCAAGACCAAAGAGGAGCAGCGCAAGTCTGGCGTTTCGACGTTCGACATCAAGTCCAAGGAAATAAGTCGCTTTGCTAAGAGCAACTATCGGAGCCTAAAGAAGTCAGGTTTCAGCACGTGGAACGGTCGGTAAGTCATGGCCTCATGCTTTTCTTCAAAGCCCTGACTTGGCAAACTGACATTGATAACTTATCTAGACAAATTCGTAATGCGTTTCAGACCGCCATTGCATTGGTTGAATATGATGTTTCCCAGATGCATCCTGGTGACCCCAAGCCTTCCCTAGGCAAGAAACAGTTTGAAGTCGTTGCCGAGGGCTCCCGGCAATTCGATGACTACCTCATGCGGACTCTGCAAGGTAGGGACGCGGACATTGCCATCCGCGACCAATGGCGCGACGACACATTTGAGTTGCAAGAGCCGGGGCACGCGACACCCCTCAGGAGTGAGTTGCCGACAACGAGGAAGCCAGAGACGAAGTTCCGGTCGGCGAAAGATGAGTTGAGTGTGACAGAGAGCGATTCGGAGAGTGATAGCGAGGAGTCGGGCGACGATGAGGAGAAGGGAGAGGATCAAGGGGTATCTGCAACCGTCAAGGCAGGGGATCCCAAGAGTTCTGGTGGAAATGATATGGAGGAGTATCAGCAATTCCTGGAATTTCAGGCCATGAAAAGGGCGATGGGAAAGTAAGACCCTCTTTTACCTGCCTACCTCAGTGGGTAGTTACCTTACCTACTAAAATTATAGGACAAAAGTCTGCGAATGCCCTACCCCGATATGTTGTGTGTCGTAATACGTATAGATAACCCCTTTCTCTTTAATCCTTTATAATATAATATAAAAATAGCTTGCGTTCGTTAATTCGGTACTGAAATAAGTATAAATCACAGGAGAAACTATTAATTTACTCCTGTATAGAAATCTGCAATATATTATAATTTATCGGGTAGTAAAAGCTATTATACTATTACAGGTATTTATAATACCAGCCTGTTAACTGTATATAAGATCTTTTAATACTGGAAAAATAAGAAGATATTAGAGAATAAGCCTAGAAGTAGAAGACTAGGTAAATTAACTACTGCTGAATATAAGTATATTATTCTTTTAGTAAAAAGGGATTATAAAGTTAGCTATTCTACTCTAGTTAGTATAATAAATAGTTAGATATACCTTAAAATAATATAGTACTTAATAAGGAAGTGTTGATTTTAAGAGACTATAGCCACTATAAGTCAGTGGGGTCATGAGCGTCATAGCGGTCATGACCACTAACTGCTAGCGATCGTAGCCACTGGCTATTAGCGATCAATCTGGCTGTTAGAGATCGCTGCTAGCGATCGCAGCCACTAGCTGTTAGCGATCGTAGCCACTAGCTGCTAGCGATCGTAACCACTAGCTTCTAGCAATTGCAGCCACTGGCCACAACCGCTAATAACCCCCTGC